TGTGTTTCTCGCTATGTTTTCAATAAATCTCTTTCGCATCTGTGAAGTTTGGATATTGCACTCAAAGTTTTAACCAGTTTCTGAAAAGCTAGCGCATATTAATTTCCAATATAGCTCCGATGCCAATGGAGGCCTGCAAGCGATACAAGATTTCAATCATTTCAAAACTCCTACAGTAATGTTGATTGCATTACCGTATGAACTAACTATTCAACATAAATTAAAGTATTCGTTCCCCCTAACTCTTATCAAAAGAATGAAATAATAAATGCTTGGGTTTTTTTTCTGAAAACATTTTTTCATTGTGAGCTTTATTTTTCTGCAAGGTTATCTATTTTAACAAGCATTTTTTAACTAATAAAGTCAAATGCTTTGCATAGTTTGAAAAATGTTGGAAAAATATATCAAAAAATTAAGTTATTTTTATCCAAAATTTTATAAATGCAAAGGACAGAACCTGAGAAATTTTGAAATTAAAATATATTCAATCTTTTAGAGCGTTTAAATATCATCAATTCTTGACAATTTTACTTTGTTATTTTTACTTATCTATCAAACAATATTCGCAGTAATCACTTTGCATAAAGATGTGACATGTCACTAAGCATAAGTGAAGAGTTGTTTTCATTTTTCATTAGTAACTATATATTTTAAAAAGAAAAAATCTGTCACTGCAATGTCCCGTTTACTTCATTAACTTAAGAAAAGATTACCTGCAGATAGTGAATCGAAGTTATTGCTTAACTTGTTTGTATGTGTGTTGCTTACTTTCCTAACAATTTGGTAACGTATACCTTTTAAATAACCTTCACTTTTTAAAGTGAAAATTTTTGAGTTAATTGAAGATAAGAGTAATTTAGTATCTAACGTCTAGTTCACGTATACTTAGCGCGTAAATGATGTTATTTGTCATTATCTTCTCGGTTACCAGATTGCTCAATTACGCCACTGAATTCATCAGAACATGATAGTTTTATGAACCCTATTTTAAATTAACAATAATTGCGAGTTTCTTAAAGATTAGGTTTTCAAATACCGTTACCAAAGTCTTACTACATAAATTCATTAATAGTCATAATTCAAATTCATAAATGTATCTATTTCGATTATATTTCTCGAAAAAAAAATCTTTCATGGTATATAACGAGGTTCGACGTCAGTTTGTTGCAGTGACAATTTGCCAAGGCGCAATTTGTCGTCGTCAAATTTCGTCGGGGGTACAATTCGTCGCTAGCACAGTTTGCCGCATTCCTTGTGAGCACTATTTCTGGAAGTTGGTTGAAATTACGAACTTGTATTTGCGAATACAAGACTCTTACATTTTAGATAAAAGCTAAGTAAATATTTAATTTGTAGTGGTTAATTTGTTACGAAAGCACCTAGGAGGTAAGGGGTTTGTGATTTGCAATTAGTTTTAAATAATAATTTTTTAAAAGGATTTAAATAAGGAATGAATCATCTCGTAATGTAAAATGCCATGTAAAAAATGCAACGTAAAGATTTTTTCAAACGAAAAATTATTCAATTATTATTAAAAATTACTTCTAAACATATTTTTTCTGTCTTAATGTTTTTTTGCTTTACACAAATAGTTCTAGAGATGCAAAAATTATAATTTACAGTAGGAAACTCTAAAACTATTTGGAGCGGATTTTCCAAAATGCATTCTTTATAATTTGAGTCAAAAATATAAATCAGTCGTAAAAACAGCTGTGTTTCTTAAATAGAAAATATCAAAGTCCATTTCAACGAACATTTTTTTATTTTATTATGGATAACTATTTTTATTTAAAATAAAGTTGACAGCTTTTGTATACAGATTGTACGTAAATCTGCATATAAATAGTTCTCTATTTTATAAAAGACAGAAATTTCGAAACATGTTGACCAACATGTTTTCTCCTAAATCATAACAGGTTTTTGCAAAATTAAAATAAAATGAAGAGCAATATCTTTTATTATCATTGATAATAGTGAATACTAATGGAAAAAGTGTAATTTAGGAAAACGAGGGAGCATTTTAGATATGTGACAAAAAAAAAGGTGCATTCTTTTAAAGTGCATGGCAATAATTTTAAAAATAACAGTAGAATTTTTCTTCTGATGGGAAAGAGATAACTTGCTACGTGGTCGTACACGAATTGCTTCATAAAATATTAGGACGGGAAAGTAATGTCGTTTAGGTGCATTTGATATTTGTTATCAAGATTTCATTTTCAATCAATAATATATTCACTCTCATTAGCAACAACCTTTCTATGCCTGATAGAAAATGAATCGAAATGAACCGAAAAAGAAAATGAATTTGTTTTTAAGACTAACGAATATTTAATGCGCCGAAACGACTTTACTTTCCGGTCTCCCTAATATAAGGTGTTAATATTGTAAGGAGGTAACGGTGTTCTTTATGGATTTTTAATATTTATACCAGAAAAAAATAAATATGTTTTTCATTTTAACATTTTTCATATAATAGTGCTCATTTAAATAGTTGAAAAATGCATTACCCTAAAAAAATGGTCTCAATAGCGGAAGGCTAATAATTTTCAACTATTTATAAACATAGTTTTTGTATCTTTAATGCTAGGATTTTGTCGGTGACATAGAAATTTAAAGTAATAACGGATTTCTTGTGACATTCTGTACTTATTATAACGAGTTCTTGCTATTTATTTCTATACGATTTTGCAATTCATTTATATCCTACAGTGTTTAATAAGCTCAATCAAAAGTTTACCTCTTAAACCTCCATCTTATCAAAAAAAGTTAATATATAAAAGAGTTTGTTTTTTTAAATTTTCACAAAATTTTTTTATTTGAAACTCTTATTGGTTTTACAACCTGAAAAGCCCCAGTTTCTGCGATGAAATAACTGTATTGTTTATTGTAAAAGTCTTATTTTCACAAGTGGTAGTATAATTTTTAAAAAAAAGAATTAATTTTAAAATACCGCTGCGAAAACTGAAATCAAATAAAAGAAAAATAAGAAAAAAAAGCATTATTTGCTAATATGTTTTAAAAAGTAACAAAGCTCAAACAATTAAATTTGAACCATCTGGGACATTTTCAGCAGCTTGGGTGGTGAGAAAATATATTTCTCACAACTAATATGTTACGACAGATATAAAAGTCGCCTAGATAAATGCTAACTTTAAAAAAAATGTTTTAATGCACATCTTTCAAAGGAAATTATTATGCTGGGTGCTAAGGACTAGCCACAGCAAGCATTTTTAATTTAAAAAAGAAGATTTAAATTAAGGAGATTTTAGTGATTTAAAGCAAGCATTCTTCCATGCACTTACACCAGCTTGTAATTAATGAAATACCTGTAGTGTGCGATGAAATACCTGTAGTAATTACCTGTATTCCTAAAGTCTTATTTTCGCTAGTAATAGTACAATGTAACATTTTTTTTATTTTCATTTAAAAAATTGCAGCTATGAAAACTAAAATCCACTAAAAGGAAAATGAGAAAAAAGCATTACTTACTAATCAGTTTTAGAAAGTCATAAAGCTCAAGCAATTAAATTTGAACCATCTAGGGCATTTTCAGCAGTCTGGATGGTGAGAAAAATATATTTCGCACGGCAAATATGTTACGACAGATATGAATAGTTTACTTCCCCAAGATAAATGCTAATTTTTAAAAAAAATCTTTCAAGAGAAATTTTTATGCTTTTCGCTAAAAAGTAGCTTCAAAAATCATTTTCAGTTTAAAAAAGATTTAAATTAAGTAGATTTTAGTGATTTAACGTAAGTTTCATCCACCTCCAACCATTTGTAATTAAAAATAAGTAAATCACTAACTCCCCAACCTTAAGTACTTTCGTAATATTCGAATGGCCATACATTAAATGTTAAGTTAGCTTTCGTAGACAATGCAAGAGCTTTGTCTTCATAAATGTATATTTTCATCGAAATCGCAAGTAATTGTGCTAACGACGTACCGTCCTCCTAGGAAGTGGTAAAAATAGGACGAACCCACACTTCCGTTTTTGGCAGGAAGAGAAGTAAATTGAGGAAGGAACTTAAATATTACTTACTAGATAAAAGAGGTATTGCTTCCAATGCATATTTTTAAGCTAAATTCAATGCAGTTCCAGACGATAGAACTAATAGTTTCGAAGTTATAACGGTTTCAGGAACAAGTGTAGTATGTTTTGTACTTAGTTTACACTTTCGATATTGATATTTCTTGGCTATATAGTCAAGCTGTATTTTTTCTTGTGCTTTTATTGAATGGGTCGCAAAAAATTAAATTCGAATCGATAGAATAAACAGCTTAAAAGAAGCGTGTGAATAAGTGCAACTAAAAAATATTTATTTTTAAAGACAAAACCTTTGCAACTTCTGAAGTATTTAGTTTCGTTGATTGCTCTTTTCTTTCGATACAGCGGGGAAAAAATATTCATTTTTTAATTATTAAAGAAAGCTTACTTTAGTTGAGATATTAATACAGATGCGCAAATAAGCGTAAGCTAAACATTCTATTTTTTATACATAAAAACCATGATGACTCCTATATCTTTAGTATTTGGTCTCATTCTATTAGGCACAAAAAAACTGCACCGGAAACAATACCTCACTTGCCTAGATAGCAGTATTTATGGTTCTACCTCATTAAACCCCTTCATTTTTTTAAAACAAAATGTGTGAGTTCAATTAACATTTTACCATTTGCTAAGAGGAAGGTACTTAGCATTTTCCCCCTGAAAAAAGAAAATTTCTGATATTAACGATTTTTTTTTTAATTTTTACTGCACTATAAACATTATTAAATTTTTAAAAATAAGAATTATTTCTAAGTCATGAATCCTCTATTATGAAGGACATTCAATTTATTACCATTTTAATATAAATAAAAGCCCCATTAAACAGAAACAACTCAAAAAGTAAGACAGCTGCACCAGGTTTATGAATAAATAAAATTTCATCTAAACTGTCACGATCCTTAAACTATAATAAAACTTTCACATAAATCTACTCCTAAGATAAGAACTGAATCTTCAATAATGTTTCGGATGAAGACAAAAATCGTAATATACCTAATAATATACCTAATATACCTAATAATACATATAATATAATAATCGTAATATACCTTCCTTAACTGCTCTGATGTCATTGAAAGCTTGTAAAATCTAACCAGCTGATAGAGACTAATAGTTCAGAAATAATCCACCTTGCATTCATGTTTTTCAATTTCAAATATATGCTGCGTTAAAAGTATTTCTCTAAATAGTGTTTTTTTCTTTTATAAATTGTGGAAAGGTAAGTTTTTCAACAAAATATATGAAACTTGTAATCATTATTTAAATATGTAATTGTAATATGAAAAGGTTTTATACATTGGTAAAAATATGTACATATGGTAAAAAAATAAAATTCTTCTCAAGTTTATTTTTTATCATATAAATTATGTTTTATATTCTCTTTTTCGCTTATCAGGTATTTACATTTTAATAAATTGTATGTATATTTTTAAGAATAACTAAACTCTACAGTTGTTTGATTTTGCTAAATTTAATAAACTTGTTTGCTTTGATGCAAAATTAAAAAAGTTAGTTCGTTTGAAGTGATTTTGTTTTTGTACAAATTGATTTTGATTTAATTCTTAAATTAAGACTCATATCAAATTTTTTATTTCATGCCACATTTTTCACTAAAATAGCGACTGGATCGCCATTTATAGCATTTTAAATATTACAAAGTTTTGAGAAATCAGTAACTTGAAAAATTGATCTTCCCTTGGAGTTATTACACAGTTCAGATGGGCCAGACTGTAGAAAAATCCATCTTTTCCTCTCTCTGAAATATTTTTCGCCGAATCAGCTTTTATAAACATAAACCGTTTTCACCTGTGGTCTTCAAATGCTGATAAAAAATTCAAACCATAGTACTCGACTTGGTTTGATGTATATATTTTTCAAGTATAGATTTGGTATATATTTTTTTCAAAAAATAATAAATACCGGAAAATAGTGGAGAAAAAGTAACTCCACTTTTCAAAAAGCAGATTTGTACCGTGAGCAAAAAAATAAACGGACCACTCTGAATAACTTTTGATCTTATAATTGGATAATAATCGAAAAAATTTTGAATTGTGAGCTTTACAATTTTTTACATCATTCTAAAGAATGTAATTTTACATATCAAAATACAAAATTTGAACGAAATCGGTCACCCACTTTGCATTTTGCTGCTTAAAATTACATCCTTTAAAATGATATAAAAATGTGCTTACCAAATAATTCAAAACATTTTTCATGTTTATTAAATAAGATAATAAACATGTGCTTAAACTTAGAATGGTTTCTACATTTAAGAACATTTTTTAAACTGTATAAGTAAAGCACAAGTAAATAAGAAAAATTAATTTCGCAAATTCCTATATCACTTCTCAATTGCAGAGTTACACAATCATTCTTACTTTGACAGCTTCTAAAATATCTATTTCTATACTCCGCATAAAATCAATTTCTTTTACAAGTGTGAATAAGAACTTCTAACTATTATAAATAATATGCATTCTTTCCTTTAACTTTATGCTTGTTAGCTCATATCGTTAGCAAATTAACTATCTTCAGCAAATCTTTTCCAATTTATTCGGCATTAATATAATTCAGTATGCATGAAATGATTCGGCATGCATTAAAAATGATTAACTATACTTAAGAAATTCATACCATTATCCATAAAGTTATCGAATCAGATAGATGTTAAATGAAAAATAAAGTTCAATTAAAAATAAATTTTTCATCATTAGATATTAACCAACCAAAAAAAAATACAATTTGATAAACTATACAAATATTATAACTTCTTCTCCCCCCCCCCCAAAAAAAAAACTTTCTTATTTTGGTCCTTTTCTTAAAGTTTTAAAAACTAGAGGATTTCATTAACAGGTCTTCATGTTTCACAAAAAAATTTCTGACAATTTTACTTTTTAATCAGTCGGCAACGAAGAATGAAAGTTTCACGTCGAAAATAGGAATTTTTTCATATTTCCTTTCGAAAATTAGATCAAAAGACAATTTAAAAATTGCATTGCTGGTATAGTATTTAAATATCGTTAAAAATATTTAAGATGAACAAAAAGTATTACAGATTTGTCTGTAGAACTCTATCATTAGCAATTAAATTATATTTCTCTTGTCTCAACAGGTCATTTAAATCACTTTTCCAAGCTCAAAGATGTTCGACCTAGCGAGGGAAAGCTCTTATCCCACACCCCTTGCTCACTCGGCCTTTCTTCCACTCATGCTCATGTCTCTAGCCTCTCAAAAGAATTCGCCATCTCCAACTCGAACTCCGAATTCCATTCGTTCGGAATACGATTACATCATAGGTAAAAGGAAATTAAATTTTTATTCAAAAATTATTATGCATTATAGATAGAATGCACTATGCAATAAAAAGAAACGAACATTTTAAATAACTTTTGTTCTAATGATCAGATTTTCACACTAGGACTCAATTTTAATGGTTCGAGGCTTTAATCTTAAATGTGCTAATTAATTTATGCAGATGAAATTTTAAGTTAGGAAATCACACACAAAAGTGCTACTTTCTCTGAATAAGCATACTTTTTATGCATTATTTTTATCTGTTTTCTTCGATTTTAATTATTTTATGCAGACGATATTTAAAGTTAGAAAATCACATTCAAAAGCGTTACTTTCTTCATATAAATATACTTTTTTATTTAGTATTTTTATATATTTGTTACCTATAATTTCATTCTACATGAAAAAGTATTTTAGTAAAAGGCAATTTTAATATAGATTCTTTTATAAAAATATGGTTAAAAGATTCAATTTTTATTCTTGAAAAATGGTAAATAAAGTTTGTAAAATAGAATTTAAGAAATTGTGAATATCAAAGCTTTTATATCTTGACAAAATTAATTCAATATATCAAAATTCAATAATAATTCAATATATAATATCAATAAATAATCCCGATGTTTCACTAAAACTGGATACATTGAACTATAAATTTCATATTTTTTGATGCATAAACAAATTGAATATCTCATGACTAATGGAATTACGACTGGAATGAAGTTATTATAAGGAAAATATAGTATTATGACAATTATTTTGCTGTTGCTAAAATAACAAATACATTGAATTACAGACTTTAATCCACGAAAAAATATTTTAGAAGGATGTATACATTTTCTTACAAAAACTTTGTTTCTGTTGAAAAATTAAAAAATTGAATTTGTATGATTACTTTGTGCATAAAATGATTTAAGAAAGAAAAGTTTTTTTTTTCAAAAAATAAAAAAATTGAATTTGTAATATTTATTTTGTAAAATAACTAATAATTTGTAAAATTTTCAGCTGTCAGTAAAAATTAAGTATCTGCTTTCGTTTTTAAAATTTCATATCAAAAAAATAATCCGTATTTATCATTAAAACTGAAGACAATTATATAATCGGTATTTTGCTAACCATAAAATTAATATTTTTAATAAGATTCAAGGGAATGCGAAATAAAAAAATAAAGTTATTTTTGTGCTGTTAAAATATCATATGAATACTGTTGTTTATATGTACCTCAGTCCATATGAAAACTGTCTAAAAGCTTCATATTAAAAAATAAATACTTCACATAGATTTGGTTATAGAAAGATTAATTTAGTTATTTAGAAAGATCTGAAGTAGATTAGTTTTATTGTAAAATATTAGTTTTGTTAGAAATAGAATATTATTTCTGTGAAACTTCTATTTTTAACCCTCTGTCTTTCATCATCTTCCAAGTTGGTGCTGGATCTGCGGGTTCCACAGTCGCTGCCCGTCTTTCTGAATTACCATGCGTAACCGTATTACTGTTGGAAGCTGGTAGAGATCCACCGCTTTTAAATGATATTCCAGCATATGGGTTGAATTTCTGGTTTTCAGATATTGACTGGGCATATAAGACTGTTCCACAAAAATATGCTGCAACTAATCTAAAAAATAGGGTAAGTATTATGAAAAAGAGGTTTGTGTAATCTTATCCCCACGTCGAAATCTTTCTATGCACTGCCAAAACTTTTTGGTTTAAATTACGGTAAAAAGTACCGGGACTCAGGGTGCCGGTACTTTTTACCGAAAAATCCGTTTTTATCGAAATATGAGGCGAAATAAAAAATCTGATAGACTGTAATTTTTACTGCAATAATTACCGTAAATCACTGAATCACTCTAATTAAATAAATATTACTGAAAAAATGCGGTATAATACATTTTACGGTAAAAAGAGTTTTACGGTAAAAAAGATTTAACTGCAAAACGGATTTTACGGACGATGTATCTAAAGTTCCGGTACTTTATTCCAGAATTTAATCCGGAATTTTTCAGAGTATATTATTTTGTAAAATAATATTACAATTGTCTCGGGATTCCGTCAAAAGAAAGTTGATCATTTTGGGATTCCACAGTAGAAAAATATTGGAAACAGCTGGTTTATATCACAATATATACACCGAAGAGCCATTACATTATGACCACCCTCCATCTATAACAATGGGCTCGCCCAGGTTTTCATGGTTTCTCGCCCAGGAACAATGTTTTCATGGGGCACATTAGGACCCATAATCCTCATAGAACAATCCCTGACGTCTGTAAGCTACTTGAACATAGTTGCAGGCCAGGTTCACTCATTCATGGCAACAGTTCTTCCTGCGGGGGATGGTGTTTACCAACAGGATAATGCACCATGTCATAAGGGTCGAATCGTCGTGGATTGGTTCGAGGAGTATTCCTGTGACTTTTAAGTCATGTCTTGGCCCCCAAATTCCCCTGACCTTTAAACAATAGAGCATTTGTGGTCTTACTTGGAAAACCAAATTCGTGCTGTCACGCTACCCCCTCGCAATGTGAGGGAATTGCAGGACCAGTTGGTGAGCGCTTGGTACCAGATACCTCAGACTACCTATCAGCACCTTGTGGAATCAATGCCACGGCGGGTGCTAGCAGTTTTGAGGGCTAAAGGTGGTCCTACATGTTATTAGCAGGGTGGTCATAATGTAATGGCTCTTCGGTGTACATTATTCCTCCACTAAATAGATCGCATTAATGATGTTTATAATTTTACTAAAAAAGGATTATACAACACACAACAAACACAGATTATAGAATTAAGAAGAACTTAATCACAAAGAACATGAAAGTTCTTTCAATTTATGTTATGAAATACTTTAAAGCTATTTTTCCGAAGGCTCCGTCCTTATATGAAATTATTCCTTTTGCGAATAATATGCTATTTTTATAACTGCTGTGAGTTTGCAACTGTCACTCATGAAGTTTAGTCTATCTAAAGCCAGCGCTGTCTATGCTTATTTTGTAAATAGTGCAAAACGTCAGTATGGAGAAAAGCCACTAAATTATGCAAATAAAAAGTGTTTGTGGTCTAATTTTTTAATATTTAAAAAACTTATTTCTACAACTTATTACTGCATTACCTGGGCTCATAAAAATTTGCAAAAACTGAGAATAAGGCAGTGATTTTGATAATTTTCACCTTGGTGGAAAAATGCCACCAAATTGGCGATTTTTAAAAAAATTTAATAACTTTTAAAATGTTTAAATTATTTATCCTCTCTAAGGCCCATATAATTTTCCATGCCAAGTTTATATATACAGTTTAAAATCATCAAATTGCTTCAAGTGTAAGGCACTTAAACTAAGGCCATTTTTTTATTTTTATGGTAATAGGTCTTCGCAAAACAGCGTTAACTCATTTTCCTTTTACATAAATCTAGCATTCCAGTAAATCGTAACGTATGTAAGTAAGTAGCGAATGTTGAATTATATTATTTAAATTCTAATTTAGTAAATTTAGCATTATTTATTTTTAATTTTAAAAAATCGTCAAACTTAACGATATCTTATTTGGTAAACCCATTAGAAAGTTTTGCAAACAAGCTATCGGATTCTTAGTAGTGCTTTAAGATTAGCTTTGCCTCCAGTGAAACATTATTGTCAATTATATGAGTTTTTACACCCAACTGAACCTCACCAAATACACCTCAATTTCAACCTCAGATATACGTCATGAAAACAACCTTAAATATACCTCAAAAATACCATCTTTTTTTGTAAAGGGAAATGATAGATTTTAAAGAGTAACAACAATGCATGACATAGTTTCAAAGCTGAAACTTTTCATTTCTTTAGCAAATAGTGTGGCCAAGCGGAAAAGGACTGGGAGGATCAAGTTTGTTGAATAGTGAAATTGTGGTTCGAGGAAATAAACAGAACTATAATGATTGGGCTGCTCAAGGTGCAAAAGGCTGGAGCTATAGCGAAGTGCTTCATTATTTCAAAAAGTTGGAAAATGAAACAGATCCAATATATCTGGCAAATGGTAAAAAAAGAAAACTTTTATTTAGTATCCATAGTATTAAAGTGTTTTATTTTATTGCTGGTTTGCTTATTCTTTCATATATTATTCCGTAAAAAGGCAGTTTTATTTAGTAATACTCGAGATGGCACAATCGTTGGTTTTCGATGCAGAATTTTTATTAAACATATTTTTCATTCATTTTGTGCATAATTTGGTTCAAATAAGTGAAAAATGTCCCATTTAGCATTTTAATATTTTATGGTTATAAAATACAACCTGAAACACCGGTGATTTTTTTTTCCTTAAAGGCAAAAATTTTCAAACACGGCTCACTTGCAAACAATAATTTTTCATATTTGCACTTAGTTGAAGTTATTTAGATCTAAGAATTACAGTTATTCAACATTAAAACTCATTTCTTTAGCAAAATCAACAATTGATTTTGCTAAAGAATATTTTGAATATGATATTATTGTCATATTTTTGAATATGAATTAAAAAAAAACTTTAAACTACTTTTTTTGGACTTTATATTTCATGACAGATATAATTCTGATAATCCAAGTAACCCGATTTTAGCAACTATTAGAATGGGGTTTTTTTTTATAATTAAAAAATACCAAACTATATTTTTGCTTGTAATTAGAACGTCAGATAAAAGTATAAAAAAAAAAACACTGGTATCATATCCGGGAGATCTAAGTGCTAAATTGACCTTAGTTATCATTGTGAAGGTTTGGTTTTCTGTCCCTAACGGTATACAATTGGCATTGAGTTGAAGAAAAATGCTTTAAAATTGTTAAATGTAAAGAACTTCAAAAGAACAGGTTTTGGAAACTAAAAAGCATTATAAAAAAATTATAAAACCTTATGAAAATTAATAATTCTAGGAACCTGGGACAATTGAAGAAGAGCTGTGCCAAAAGAATTTAGTTGAGAATAAATTCAGAAGAAAAATATTGAGACGGAAAAAAAATCGGATTTACAATTAGTTAAAAATAATTTTGGAAAATTTAGTTCTTAGTTATAAAATATGTATATAAACCTTTAATGTATATATCTAAAAATAATAAGTGAATTCAATACTGATTCAGTATATGGGATGGGTAACAACTAATAATAAATAAATGAATAAGAAATTATTTTATTTGCATCAATTTTATAGATAATAATTCTAATAGTTTTGTGTATAACTTCGTAGATTTATTCAGTGCTGATTCATTGATTCCACCGCGTGAGTAGAACTGATATTTAGCTTGTTAAAATTAAAAACCTATACTCTCATACAATATTTAAAGAGAAGTCAATAATCATTATTATATATCTTTGAATAAGAATTTATTGATATCTTTCTGGCAGAGTAACAAAACAAACGTTAATCAAATGCTTTTTCATAGCTCTTTAATCCATTTTTACAAGAAATTATCTTCGCCTTGATTAGATGCACAACATTTTCTATTGAATTATTTGATTACCACAAAAAAATAATTCTACTCATAGAACTAATATACAATCTTCTCAATTTTTCATAATAACAATTAGGTATTGAGTACAGTAACAAATCTTGAAATCCATAATATTTGAAAGGAAATCCACGGTACGCCCCATAATAAGAATTTTATAAGTATCAATTTCAGGAGTGCTGTAAACTTGAAAAAAAACAAAAAGTTTAATAATGACGGGGCTTACCTTTTTCGAGCAATAGCATTAGTATCTTTAATGATACTCAAGGTATGGATCGAGAGGTGCGTGTTGGAGGATTAGTTTCCTATCTAATCACAACAGAAATGAAAATAATGTTAATAATTCTGTTGCTGATGACGAAATGTCCCGAGCTCTTCCACCGTACCTAGCTGCCTGGTGACTTTTAAATTATCATTAAATATTAAATTTATAAAAAAATTTTGATAATATTGTTGACATTCTTGAAAAAAGTTAAAATTGAAATTAGTTAAAATGATTGGGCAACAACTGGACGATAAAAAAATTTTGTTAATACACTGTTTAAAACTAATTATGGTGTTAGGACTAAAGGAGAAGTTGGATAATTAGAATATTTAAAATTAGTTCAGACAAAATCTGTTCAAACCCTAAGAAATTCGTCTATACGACTTACAGACACTTTATTTTTCGAATTGTTTCAGGATACCATGGTAAAGATGGTCCAGTAACGATAGAAACTATCCCTTACAATCCAAAACTGAAAATGAAAGTACTCGAAGGTGTTGAAGAAATGGGATATGAGATACTTGATTCCAATGCTGCTCGACAAACAGGTAAATTGTATGTTAACAGTTATCTGCGTATTACTCGGCAAGACTACTGATATCAATTGGGCGCAGTTTTTGGAAGCCAAAATTTACAGCCATAATCATTCTCCACCACATGACGTTGCCAAAGAAATAACGAGCGTCTTTTTTTTTTCTTTTTTTGGTAAAGTTGTTTTGCAGAACAACAGTTATCTGCGTATTGCATGTCAAGTTTATCGATTTCATATTCTCGCTGCAGACCAAGGAATCCTATGTGATGCAGTTAAACATGATATAAAACGCACTTTGAACATGTGCTTGACGAAAAAATGAAATGCACATTATGCATATGCTATGATTAAAAAGAACCTGCTCGCGTCTTCAAATTGTATATGGATCCTTATGAGAGCCATTTTTAACAGGTTTTCTCCTGGTTGTAGAAATCTAAAGTAATTTTTTTTTAATTGCAGATTTCTTTTGCCCGTGGTTTGTATAACATTTTTATCATGTTCAATTAAAATCCGTATACCAAAACGGACTGTATGTTGATCTAAACAAAATAGCTTTAATTATAACCATCACCCTCAAAGCCCTGATTATGAGATAAAGCTTAATGCTTAATGAATTTTTTCTTTTTCTTATCTTACCTGATTTATAAAGAAATAAGCTAAGGATGTATTAGTTTCTAAATAAGATTAAATTTATTTCTATGTTTGTGAAAGTAAGAAAAAAACAATTGGACTATTTTCCAAATAAAGTCTTCACATCTTGTGGGCTATTCGGATAAACCATGTCACGAAACCGGATTTGGAAAATTGTTTATAATTTTTTTTTTTTTTTTAAGTATCTAGTTTTTGCCCCGTTTTAAGTTGTCCGATGAAGAGATAACAATTTAAAAAATGGAAATAAATGTTGGTTTTCATTTTTTCGAATTTAATCCAAAACACGTTAAATTTTAAAATACAAAAATCAGTACAACCTCTTTACATTTCCTCTTTACTCAAACGGCATAACTTTATTTGCCAAAACCAAACATTTGGGCAAAATTGTTTGAATACTATTAAAAAAAATCTGATCAGCTTTTTTTATTTCTCGGGAAATATTCTACCATTTTTTTCAATTTTGAATATTCTTCATTACTTCAAAATTAAAATTTTTGCGATCATTATAAAAAAATAATAAAAAATTTGTTAAAATTTCGCGATTTGTAAAAATGAATTGAACGTAGCTAAACGTATTTATTCAAGATTACATTTTTTTAAGAAATTTACTGATGCGATGACTTTTAAAAATAGAAATATGGAGGGAAACATAACACTCTTCAGACGTAATAAATTGGCAACCAGCTTTAAATGTATTCTTTTTAAAAGACACTAACTTTTCCACTAGGGAACAGTATTTTCTGATTTGGGGTAAAGCTTAAAAGTCATGAATTATAATATGCCTAAAGGAAAAACATTTTTCTTAAAAAAAAGAATGCTTTTTTTTAATTAAAAATTCTTTGAGATTTCATTGATGAATAAATAGGTTAACGCTAACCAATTAGCGTAAAAGAAATTTCCCTGGCACCCATTCAATTTGCAGATTAGTCCGGGAAAATAAGACTCATCTATGTATTATTATTCATTGCGATACATTATTCATTCAGACAAGTTTTCTGGTTGACTCACTGCATATCCATCTCAGAATCTACTATGAAGAAGAAAGCTGTTTCTGCTGAAAACATCAAAGATTTTGCTCTCAAAGAGCCAAGGACTACAAACTTCGTTAACATCGTGAACGTTTCCCGCTTTTAAAAATAAATCTACTTTTTAACGTTTTTTACTTTATAAAGCATTTCGAATTTCATAATTATATAATGAATATGGTTATCGTCTTTTTTGAATAAGAGAACTTTCATCAGTTGAGCTCTGATAATTCGATTCTCAGTCATCTAAATGCTCATTGTAGACACAACCTAAAATTATGACTAAGAGTAATCCATTATAACACGATCTGATAACTTTTCTATTGTTTTCTAAAAAGATGTAATAAATTGAATTGAATACTAGCTTTAAAAACATACTTTTTACACTTTTTTTTTCTTAAGCAGCCTTTCCGGCCTTAGAAAATTTTAAATAATCTTAAGGGCAACTGTTAAAATTCATTGGACTCTATAATTGAAGACACCCCCAGAATTAGATCACATTTAATATGTCGATTTAATTAGTTAATCAATTTAATCAGATTCAATACTCTAAAAATTGTTAAAAAATCAAAGTATACAATGCGTTATTTGCAATTCTAGAAGTGCAGTGAGCATGCCTAACCATGTGATTTAAATCAGATTTAATTGGATACCTGAAGTCGACGTCACGCGTGTTGTCAAATCTGATTGGCTTCTGAATTTACTTATACCAAGATTTACAAACAATGACGTCACTTTCAGGTGTCTAATTGTTGTAAACAAAAGGCGTTTCTAAAATCTTGATTGACATTTATTATTTTTATAGGATTTTACATTTCTCAAGGAAATCTGAGAAATGGACAAAGATGCAGTACAGCTAAAGCTTATTTGGTACCGGCAGAAAATCGACCAAATTTGGACATTCTGCCAAATGCTTTTGTTCATAAGGTGATTCAACTTTTATTTTAAAAATTTAAAATTATTCTTCATTTAGAGATCATAGGTTTGAATAAACCTTTTACAATACTTAATTTCATAAAATATTAAAACGTTGATTATTGTTGGTTGATAACTGTTTCGGTGAAAAACCAGACAATTAAACAGAACTGCGCAAAACAGGAATATCAAAAATGTGTTTTTATAATTAACGTTTTTCAAACTGTCATTTTTTTTAAAATTACAACATTCCTTTTATACCATAAGAAATTTTTCACTCTATTTAAATTATGATGAAATTTTTACAGCTCTTAAAACTTTGAAAAAATACGATTGTTACAAGATTACGAATCTTAATTTAGATGTTTCAAATTTTTGGTGTTTGTTTTAATTATTGTGCTATCGAAACTTATACACCGTAGTTTAAAGTTAAATGAGTTTAATGTTAATAAACGTTAAAATTTTAATTCCAAAATGTAGAACATAGCTGAGATAATTTATTAAATAATTATTTAAATTAACGAAAATTTGAAAATCTTAAATTCTACTTCTTTTTTTTAAGAAAAAGACGCCTTCAGCTTTTGCAAGACAGGGTTCACTATCGTACGGTATCATATTTCATAACCGTCGTTGAACAGCCGATCCAATTTAAGGTTTACGGCTACTAATGTTCAACTCCGTAACCTTGTAATTTTGAACCCAAACCAGAAGACAGGGGAACTCATGGATCAAGTATAAGGGGAAGTTTGCCTACTTAAAGGACTTTTTTTGATGGAACTAACCCACATTTGCTTTACATGGTGAGGAAAGCTAGAGAACCTCCTACGATTAGCCTAACGGCAAGGGAATTTTAACCAATGATCCGTCTACCACTGAGGTTATTTTACATCAGCACTGTGGTCGATGCTAGCTGGGCGCGGAATTCGAATCGACCAGCTATTGTCGCGATCGAACCCGGGTCACGTCATTTGGAGGCCAGCGCTCTATCCCCTGAACCACCACGGCTCACGGTAACATATTTGTTAGATTTGTCTCAAATGATACTTTAAAGTATACCTGCCACACAGCGCATTTCGTCCATTAGTGCACCATAGAGTATACTGAGCACCATGGATAAAGCATCAATAAAAACCGAACATTTTTATATAGATCATTCATTAATGAGGTATCATGAACAACGTACAGGCATTATATAGACAGCCGTGTTAAGGCGTTTCGATAACAAAACAAGCCTATGAAGAATATAAATGTTTCCAAGTCAATTTTTAGCGAAAATCTAGATAGTTTTATTCGTATAACTAGATGGAAAATATATCATGGTTAATATTATAAATGACGACTAATAGAGATCTACTGGACGACTTGGTGCCATATGGTTAAGTCCATATTAAAAAAATTAATAATGTCCTTCTATTAAGAAAACCCTTTAGTCTTAAGTCCTAGCGAATTTGACGGTTACTGTGGTTACGAGGAAAAGTCATTTAGAGGGTGGGATAAATCCTTTCACTTTTGGGTGTCATGTCATTTCTTTGTGTCACTCTATTGGATATGGCTTTATACCTATTTTTATTGCAGTAGTCAACCTCAGACATCCAACCAGCAGCTTTTTCCTTTCCCACAAGTTCTTTCACGAGTTTTTTCGTGTACACAGACAAAGTATAATTTCGACTTTTTTACGTGCTAATTAAAAGATTACTGATAGAAATATCTCAGTAAATAAGTCCTCCGAAGATTCTAATGTGGGTGTCATTTCGAATGTAGGGAGTTAAAAATTGCTCTTTGTTTGTGATCGAGAGCTCATGTCAAGATGTCACGTGTCAATTCCTGTGGTAAATGAAAGAGATACTTGTAACTTCGGACTTTTAGTTTAAAGAAATCCTCCAAGTTCGAGAAAAAAATTAGAATTTTATTTCTGTATTGTTCAATATAGGTCAACATTAAAAACGGACAAGCTGTTGGAGTAACATTCGATGTGAATGGAACAATACATAAAGTAGCAGCGAAAAAAGAAGTCATAATGTCTGCCGGAACTGTCAACTCGGCTCAGCTACTCATGCTTTCAGGCATTGGTCCAAAGGAGGAACTTAAGAAGCACGGCGTAAGTGAAAAAGGTTTTTGTTGCTATTTTGAATGTTTGACTAATTTTCAATTTGCTTTATTCCCTTTTCTTTAGATATGTCCCACTCCCAATTGGAAAATAAGCATTTTTCATTGGAATTCAGAAAAAAAAAATTTCACTGTCAGTGAAATGGTGCTAAGTAGAATTTTTTATTATAGTGTTCCACCTCTTGACTTCTCAACGGAATATATTTAGTTAAGATGTGAGTTCTCAAAGTTTGCAGTAATCTCGCATTTAAGTCAAACATTGAAAATTTGATTGCGAAATCCACCGAATTGTGGGGAAATGCTAAAATAAGCATCCGAAATGGTAAAATAAGCCTGTTTCTTTAAGCAGTCACCTCATTGAACAGTTCCAATCCATAATAGTAAGAGAACCGAAACTTCACAAGCTCACCGTAATTAAATATTTTTCATGGTTTCTCTAAGGGTAACTAATTTTTATTTGGCAAGCTGATTTTGCTATTTAAAATATCGAAGCAAAAGAAAAGAGGAGCCCTTTTGTTAACCTTCGCAGAAAAGTAATAAATTGACTTTTCGAATAGTAATTTTTATTTTAAGAACAAGAAGACAGAACAATTTCAGCTGAAAATACAATAAAGAAAACTGAAATAAAAAAACTATACAGTTTTGCGCAAAAAGGTAATAGTGTGCTCTCAATGCCTTACTGTGATAATCAGATTATGATATATATTTATAGTTTAATATGTAACAATAAATGAATCACCAAACAACTATTAACTATTATTATACCTTATTACTGATAATGATATTATGGAAGAAAATTTTAAACTAAAAAGATATTTTAATGAATTTAGAAACACAAGGTAAACTGTTTATATAACACTTATTCAAATTAAAAATCGTCTTATTGAATGACCTGGCAGGTAAAATTTAAGTTTTACACTAACCGTCCTGAATTTCCTTCAGCATGCAAGCTTTTACTCTTTTTTAACCGATCACTTGGCATTTCCTTCCACTATTTCTACTATTTTTTATTTTTTTTTATATCTCAAAACCGGGTAACTGCTGAAATATTTTAATAATTATATGTTTCATCTAGCATGAAATTATTTCAAAAGATTCCACTTCTCATCTTTTTCTAGATTCCTCTTGTGGCTGATTTGCCTGTTGGAAAAAATTTGCAAGACCATTGCTCTGCTTTAAATCTCTATACACTGGATTCTAGCATCCCTCCTTTTCCAGAATTGATTTCCAGTAATAGAAGCTTTCAACAATATATAAATAACAGAACAGGTGCATATTTTTAGGTTCAAATTTGTAGTGCTTAAACTAATTCGANTTAAAGTAAAGTTATATGCTATAAAATGGCGAATTTGTCATTATCCAGGCTGTCATTTTCCTGGCTTATGAATGTCAGGACATTGAAGTGTTACAAGAAATTCTTTTTAATTGTTAATACTGTAAAGAGGGAAAGCAAATATTAACCTAATACCAAGTTTATGTATGATTGTAATATGCTTGGATATAATCAAAGTTATTTATTTACTTAATGTTTGATTATTATACACAATTTTATTCTACACATATCAGCAACAAAAATTTTTTTGCTTCTTTCTACAGTGGATAAAAAGAATTAATTTAAGCAATTTATGGTCCCTCTAACATAAAGGCTTAAGTTGATTTACATACTATTAACTTAAAATGACTGTTTTTTAAACTTCTAAGCTAATATGTCATTTTCCTGGCACTCAAGATTTGGTGAATTTCTATTTTATTTTTTTTTTTCTCGAACAAATGTCAATAAACTGCACTGCTGTCTATAAGATATTATTAAGTGTAGCTAAAGAAGTATACAAAAAAATTTTTAGGTTATTTTGAGGACTTTAAATTTGAAGAGATTTTTTTGGTCCGAATTGTCATGTTTCGTGAGAATGACCCTAATATGTAACAATAAATTAGTCACCAAACAACTTTTGCCTATTACTAAAATTATTATTGGTAATGATCTTATCGAAAAAAAATTTAAACTAAAAAGATATTTTAATGAATTTAGAAGCATAAGGTAAACTGTTTATAAAACACTTTTTCAAATTAAAAATCGTCTTATTGAATGACTTGGCAGGTAAAATTTAATTTTTTCACTAACCGTTCTCTATGGCATGCTTCAACCTCTAAGCTTTTATCCTTTTTTAAGCGATCACTTGGCATTTTTTCTACTATTTCTAATATTTTTTATTTGTCTTATATCTAAAGGCCGGGTTTTGATAACCCGAGCAATATTTTGTATTTTCGTTACTCTTTTTCTTCTTATAGGGCATTTTTATTTTTTTTTTCTTATTCTTTTCGTATATTTTGAGATTTTTGTGTTTTCATTGACTTTAGAACATTTTCTGAAATCTTGAGAGCTATTAGCTATTATCTCGATAAACTGTATCGACAAAATAATTAATGATTAGAAAAAAATAACTAAAAGGAAATATTTAAAAAAAACATAGTTGCTATAATTTCAAGGTCTCAGGGAAAAAACCCGTCTTTTAAACCATAAGAAAGGTCAATCTCATCTTAACAGGAAAAGCGACAACTTTTGATATTGAAGAAGTGTGAAGTAAACTGAGTCAGTATACTTCATATGTGCACCAGTAACAACTGAAAATGTTGGGAAAAAAGCTTTTTCCATGCATTAAAATGTACTTCCGCACAAAAGTCATTCTTTTACATTTAAAAATGTCAAAAAGCATGTAATAATCCATTGCAATTCTGATTTCTTACAATTTCACAAAATTGAAGTTTTGAAGAATTTAAATGAAAATCAATGCACAAGTAGCTCTCCTTTCTCCATAATTCTTTTATAATTTTATTTTAAACTCGAATGAAAATTACATTTCCCTTTCTCTTTATAAACATGTTTTAATACAATTATATGTAATATGAAATTTTAGAAAGGAAAAGATGCTTCAAATTGAAACTCTTGTTTAATTAGAAGGGACTTCTTAAGTCCATTTTTTGCTATTTTTAAGATTTTTTTTCGGTCATCAAAATCTAGGTTTTATTATATCTAATTACTTTTAATAAAATAATGTTTTGCTGACTGTCAGCTTAACAACTGCTGAAATATTTTGATAATTATATGTTTCATCTAGCATGATATTATTTTAAAAGATTCCACTTTTCCTCTTTTTCTAGATTCCCCTTGTGGCTGATTTGCCTGTTGGAAAAAATTTGCAAGACCATTGCTCTGCTTTAAATCTCTATACACTGGATTCTAGCATCACACCTTTTCCAGAATTGATTTCCAATAATAGAAGCTTTCAACAATATATAAATAACAGAACAGGTGCATATTTTTAAGTTCAAATTTGTAGTGCTTGAACTAATTTGACAATATTAACTAATTGAACTAATTTGACAATATTATATTTACAAAAATAAGATTTAAACGAAAATTAAGTACCTACATTAAGTACGTAATATTTATACTTTAAAAATATTGTGAGAATTCGTTCTATCAAAATACCGATGCATTATCAAAACCGTGATAAATAAAGTTTTTTTTTAATGTTTTGAAACAAATTAAAAATGCAATTAAATATTTAAGAAAAAATTTCATCTGTCAGAAAAAATACATAGCAATCAATAAATAATATATCAATACCTTTTCCAAATTAGTTTAACAAACTCGAAAGAAGCAAAAATTATTTCGTGAATTTCTCACTGAATCTCCTACAGCATTTAAAGTCAAAACTCAAACTATATTTTTTTTGTCTCGAGAATCAAATGACATGGTTTTACCTATAAATTTACCAATACGTTTTATAAAGTCTCTGAATTTTAAATTGTCTGTAATTTTTTTATTATTTACGTTTTAAAGTTTTTTTTTTCTTTTCCAAATACGCTTTACAAACTCGAAAGGAACGAGAATAACATAACGAATGCAATTTTTCACTAAATCTCTCACAACATTTGAAATCAAAATTTAAATTTTATAATTTTGTCAGGGCTATGAATTCAAAGACTGTCAATAAATTGTACCGATTATTTATATTTAGGTTTAGACTTGTATTTAAAACTGAGGCTCTTCTTATTTTTAGAATATTTTCTATTTGCAGGACCGCTCTCATCCCTTGAAGGCCTCGTTGCCACTGCATTTTTAAATAATGGTTATATACGTCCAAAATTTGATAATCCAAACTATCAGCTTTATATAACTGCAGCCGATGCAAAAAGTTTAAAACAGCTTGGTCTTACGGATGAAGTAAGTATCCTTTTAAACCCATATTTATAAACCATGGGTCAAAATTTTCTTACACACATGCTGACTTCACAATTCACAAAAGAATACTTTGCTACCTAAATCTACTATTAACAAAAGTTTTTATAATAGTAGATTTATAATTTTATAATCTCCATTTTGAAACAATAAATATAAATTTGATAACGTTGTTTTTTCTTAAATTTTAATTAACGTCTATGCTATATTTTTTCCTGCTCTTGTCAAATTTCCTTTTAACACATTGCAGATCATGGATGTTTAAACAGTGGTATTTGTGTCATTGAAAATTTATATCGTGATATGCATGTCACGTGAGCACAGCCGAGTTTTAATTGTAACTTTGGAAGGCTTATCGAGTAATAAATATTCTCGAATTTAAAAAATCATCTTAAGAAACTTTGACAAAATCTGTTTAAAAATTCTGACACCCTCTTAATATGTTTCTTAAAATGTAGGCATAAAAATATACTATTTTTTAAATATGAAATATTTTTGTAATTTTTTTATTGTAAATTTTTTAGTTTTCTTACAAATTCTGATTTTTCGATATTTAACTAATAAACGAAGCCAAAAATAAGCGGGGGGGGGGAGATTAAAACGGGTTTAAAAATGGTCTCTCATTTCTCGCCAAAATACTCCTCTTACTTGGGATGTTTAAATTTCATTAGTAAAATTCATTAATAAGCTTAAACACTCGCATTATATTGTCAAATATATAAAGCAATTTTATAAAAACTATTTAATATAACATTTTGTAATCAATTACAATAACAGTCTGTAATTGTTTTTAATTGTTGTTGCTCGACAAATCTGTAGCTAGATCCTTAAATTAGGATAAAATAGCTATTTTTGGCTAATATTAAAGCCATTTTTGTGGAGCTCTTAACAATAATTGTTAGAAAACATAAAATTAAAATAATTTTGATAAATAAAAGTAGAACCAATTTGTAATTGGTATACTTTCCCAGCAGCGTATGGTGATATATTCGGTCATGAATTAATATGCAATTCTCGGTCTTTATGTGCCCCACCTGTCCTTTTAATTTGTAATCACCATACTAAATCTCCCTATATATCTTTTTTTGCATTTTTTTTTCTTTTAATTAATTTGTCATTTTTCCCCATTTCTGTATCTCAGTCAAACATTAATAAAGCATAAACATATGTTCAAGAAAGTTTTATTTCTGTCTTTCGAAATGTCCTGTCATAGTACAGACTAGAGCTGAAAATAACCACTCGTCACGTGGTGAGTCAACATCAAAAAAATTAAATAAACAACCAGTTACTCTTTCCCAGCGCTTTTATTTTAAATCGTTTGATGATAAAAGTACATCAATGCAGAAAAACTCTGGAAAATAGAATTCTTATTAAAATGTTCTATGACTCCTTTCAAAATGTTGATCCTCCAAAATCCATCAATTTGATTCTTTCCAGAATCCCTCAAAATTCACGTAGAAAGAGATTTCTTTAAGAACTCACATATTTCGAAGTTGTAATCTAAACATTAAATGTATTTCGCCTCAACAAATAGTTTTAAATAAAGTTTTTTTAAGTCAATATGTTAAACTAAATTTTGTCACATATCTATATTATTTTTATTGTTGAATTAACTTTTTATAACCGTAGATTATTTATAATATAATTATTTTTAAATTTATATTTATCCGAAAAAAAAATTTGCAAAAAGTGACTATTAAATGAAAAGGACCGATCGATATATCGGTCACCGACTCATTAGTTTTGGGGAAAAAAGTGGCTTCTAAGTTAATACAGTCTACAATTCACTGGCTACTAACTGAAAATTTAAAATTTCAGGTCTAGCATTGATTGTGTAGAATTTGGTGCTTGAATCAATAACATATAATTTTTAATATTTAAGGCTTACAGACAAACCTACCAACCCTACGAAGGCAGATCGGTTTATCTTTGTGATTCGGAAGTTCTACAACCAAAAAGCCGTGGTACGGTAACGTTACAGTCAGCAGATCCCCATAAACCTCCTTTAATTGATCCAAACTATTTTGCTGTATCGGAAGATTTGGAGGATATAGTTGAAGGTGAGTATGTGCATTTAAATAAAACAATTGATTCTAACATTGTTTTTTGAAGAAAAGTCTGTTCGAATTTAGTTATATATATCATTAACTCCAAACTTATTTTATGCAACGAGGTTCATTATTCCCAATGATTGCTCTTCATTGCGAAACAAATTTTATGTCATGCCATAAATATAATTTTTTTAAATTGCTATAACGTTTAGGAAAATAATAATTTCATTATCTTGTGAAACAGTAGCATTTTTTAAGCAATTGTTATTTTTCCTTTTTCTTTACCAACATTTTTTTTTATTTCTTTATCAAATTTTAATTACTTATATTGTAAATATCAAAACATTTTAATGATAGGAAGTCTATTTAAATAAAACTGATTGCAGTATAAGATCATTTTAGCCTACTGCGACTTCCCTTTTGAATGAATGAATTTAAAACAGTAAGTAAAAAATGGTTGGTTAATAAGCTCAAACATTTTTTCATCTGTTGTAATTTAATTAAAATAATTTTTTTTTCACTTTTTTCTTCAAACATCCATACTTTTCACTAATCGCGTTTTGGTCAATTACAATACGTAAATAATAATTATCGAAAGTTGAGGATCATCTGTGTTTATGAGAACTTGGGTACCTATTTACGTAATTTGCAAAAAAGATATTTCATATATTGTTCCCATACATTTTGAAAATTAATTCTGTTTCGCAAAAACTTAAGAAATATTTTTTTATTTACTTATATATTTTTTTAATATTGATAAGTAAAATCTCGAATGTGTATAGAAATATAGCCACTTCAAAAAAAGAAAAAAAAAAGTATAAACTTAGGAATGAAATAAATTAAACAAAGAAAATTGATTTTACTGTTTCATAAATATCAATATCATTATTAAAATTAAACTCCTTTAACTTCTCTTTGCATTAAAAATTCTTACCTCGTCATTGTTTTGTTAAATGGTCAGCTTTACCATACATTTCAGTTTATTGTGAACAAAAATTGTGGCACTTAAAAGTCATAGTACTGACGAAAATCTATATTCAGTAGTAATTGAATCAAGGGTTACAGTTAATAGTGGTTAAGCAAACTTGGAAAACTCCCTAATACTCTTTAGTTTCATTCAAAAAGTCGCCAAGATAAGGTTTAAATGCAATTTGCCTTCTGAGTTAAATTTAAAATTCCAAAAATTATGAAAATGAAAAATTTATGAACGAGAATATGGAGAAAAAAAATTTCATTATTCTAATTGTACATAAAAAAAAGCAACTAATTTATTATTGAAGCAAGAGCTGAATGTTTTTATATTTAAAAAAAAAAGAGAAGAAAAGGAGAAGTGAACAGTGAATTCTATGTAATGATTCTATGTGATATATATATATATACATAAATTTAAATTTCAATCATTAAAAAATATATTACTAAATTTGTTATTATATTACTAATAATCATATTTTAGTTCTAAGATTAAAATCTTCCAAAAAACACGCTTTGTAAGAACAAAGTATTTTTACAGTATTTCAGCATTTTTAATACTAAACAAGAGTACGTTTTTTTTTTTAAATGCCAACTGACATCTTGACAAAATCTCCAGTAATAGGTGAGTGGTTCATAGATTCGTGTATCACTGTGAAAGGTTTTTACGGTAGACGGTACGAGTACTATTACGGTGCGAGTTGTGGGTGCTTATTAGTTTAGTAACTCACCAAGTTTTCAAAATCAATAAATTAATAGTGACTATAATGTTACAAGTGTTCAATCCTCAGTAGCGGCTTGAAGTCCACCTAGCTTCAGATGGATGGGTACCAACTTATCTGGAAAGGAAAGGCGTTATTTTGCACCATGCTATTAGCATTATTTGTATTCAATCAGTAATTTGGTGCAATGATCCCATTAGCTGCATTCAATCTGTAATTTGGTGCAATGCTAAAATGCATTACCACAATTACACCGTTGGCAACAAAATTGCGTAGCCTTGAATTCCACGACTCCCTGGCCAACAGCGAGTTGTTTGGAAAATGTTTTACTTTATTATGTTTAAGATTATTATTTTGACAATTATATAGGTATAAAAACTTGTCAAAGGCTTTCCGAAACTCAAGCAATGAAATCTATTGGAGCTAAGCCTCTTGACACTGTGTATCCTGGCTGTGAGAAATTTCAAAAATATAGTGATGATTATTACCGTTGTCATGCAAGATCAGCACAACTAACACAAAGTCATGAAGTGGGGACAGCAAAAATGGGTCACCCAAATGACCCAACGACAGTGGTTGATCCAGAGTTAAGGTAACATTTTGTGTTTAAATTATATTTCCTTCATGAATACTTATTTTATTTTAAACAAATAAACCGGTTATCGGTGATGAAATAGATCGGTGAAAGAAAATTAGCATAGCGTATTCAGCCATATAATAGCATGGATAATATATTCTGAAATTATCGTAATAAACACACACGTTTGAAAGAATTTTCTGCTGACTTAAAAACACTGGTTTTAAATTCCATGCATTTATGAATTTTAAGCGTTACATGAGAGCCTTTAATTAAAAAAGAATTCCTATTAGAGAATTTTTTTAGGTCTTATTAGTTTCAAACCTGTCGAAAAAATAAACTGTGGTTGTTGACTGTTGAACCATAAATCATTAATTATAGATTTACAAATTATTTCACAGATTTGAAGCAATATAATTAAAACTACCAGATTTGTCAATTCTATGATTCGCCTTTTCAATAACTCAATATTTTACTGACTCACTTGTACGACAATTTCTTGGTTTGGAAATTTCATTTACTAATTCACCCATTTAGAGATAAACGTTTTCAAAACATACAAACATATAGCAGTCCACAAAATCATCCATTAACTACTATGCTGACTTTGATTCACTTAATCATCCTTTTAGTAATACACCGATTCATTAATTTGTCTTATAACTAATTCAGCAATTAACCATTTCTCCGTTTTTGAGTAATACACCAATTCTTGATTTAACGATTTACTAATTCGATTTGCTGATTTATTGATATGCTTACTTTTGTCCTCCTATTTTTCTCCTTTATTCAAACGATACAAAACAGCTGGAAATTCAAAAAAAAAGAAAAAAGAAAGAGAGAGAGAAAGAAAGAAAAAACACCGTGCATAATATTAGTAACAATAATAAATGCATGATATAAAACTGTCGTTATAAATGCTTATTTGGTTAGCTGAAAAATTGTTTGAACTTGTTAATATATATAACCAAATTCTGAAAGGTGAGATTAACCAGCTAAATAATTTTTGAAGAAAAAAAATTCAAAAAATATTATTACTATATAAAAGTAAGGAAGACGAGAAGAAGATAGCATCGACAACTGGAATATTTCTATAATAAAACCATGTAAAACTTTCATACGGAATTTATGACAATATGATTGATAAGCAAGGTTTCAATGTTGTTGTTGTATGCCATTAAGGCAAAGAGGTTGCGCTTTTTCTTGTTTTTTTCAGTGGCGCCATCTATGGTCAAGAATTCGACTTCTGACACACACATACGTCACAACCCGTTTATAGGGCGGACCCATGCATACATTCATCCACAGATCATAATTTTGCAAAGATCTGAATCAAAGAAATCTGGCCCTGCAAGTAAGACTTCACAAACTTGCAGTGTTTTCACTACAAAGCGAGAACGCGAGAATCTCGCATATTTTTTTCTTTTCTCGCATTAAAAAATGATTACCGCGAGAAATTCTCNGCAAAAGTTTCAGAACTGTTTTCATTTTATTCTAGCTATTGCTAGATGCCAATTAACTCCGACAAAGACATGTATGGAACAAAGTCACTGTACCTTTTTACAGTATTTTTAATCTGTCCTTCATTTCAATAAAACTTTAATTATTCTATTCATTATATTTACTGTTTTTACTTTTAATTTAATAGTAGTTTAACCTTTAATTTTCGTGTCGTTTTATGATAATAACTAATTGAACTGCTTACATTACAGTAAGTACTTTTATAAATTGCAAATACTTTTAATGTATAAAATTGATTATTGAATTAAATGAAACTTGAGTTACTTAAGTTTGTTATATTTACTTTTATCTTTAATATTATTTTGCCTTAAGTTGCGTTTTATATATTTATTTATTTTAGGGTAAAGGGAATAAAGGGCTTGAGAGTTGTAGATGCATCAATCATGCCGATTGTACCTTCAGGAAATACTAACATTCCAACTATTATGATTGCCGAGAAAGCTTCTGATATAATTAAAGGAAGTATTCATTGCCAAAACTAAACTTACTCCAAAACTTACGCCAAAACTAAACTTATTTGTATAATTTATTACTAAATATGATGTGATGGAAATCATTTCACACAAATACCAACAGATATTACATCATCAAAGCAATACAAAGTGAACGCTATTATAAAATTGATATTTTGCATTTTAAATGTTTAAGTAGTAATAAAATATTTTTAAATCAACCAGCAGATTTCTTGAGAGTAATTTATTTCTTACTCATATATATATATATGCGTATATATATTTCTTTAAATAAATTTGAGTTTTATGGTTTGAAGAAAATTAACAATAAGATTTCATAGACCTTCCTTTTTGTTTATAAATTATTTTTACATTATCTACTCTATGTTTAAAATTTGGATTGACTTTATGAATTATAGAAACTACATAGATTTAAAAATATTAATTTAAAAACATTATTAATAACAGCTATTATATATAGAATATTAATTTAAAAACACAGTTCAATTTAAATTGTAATTCAAATTTTAGCAAAAAACTAGAAATCAAATATATTTTAATTGATGCAAGACAAATTAATTTTAATAAAATTGAAATTCGATACCATTTGTATGATTGTGTAATATGTATGAAAAATTTAAGCTGATAGTATTTACAAATAACAGCTTAATATTTTTAAGTTAAAGCTAAACATAAGTACTGTAAATATATTTGAGATTTCAAAGATAGAATGAATTTACTTCATTAAGAGATATACTGTAGAATCGCAGTGTAAGTCACTTATTCCTTTGGGGCTTTCATTATTTGAAAATTCGAAAAAGAAATTTTTGTAATTTATCACAATTCGAACAAGTGTTTATGCATCAATATAAAATATCAGCTATATTAAAGTATAAAAAAGCAATGAATTTCGAACATTTTACCAAAAAGACTCTTAAAATCAAAACAGATACTTTATTAGTCTCCAAGCAATTAAATATGGGATCACAATTTTTGCCAGTTTAAGTTCATCACAGTTTGACGTGAGCAAAACATTTAAAGCTGCTGTAAAATTAAAATGCATACAATTTCCATCGAAACAAAAAAAGCATTAATATCATAACAACATCATCATCAGTGAAGAGCTGCCATTATATATGCGTTTTAAATATCAACAATCATGCCACATATTTTAAATGTTAAATAAAAATATTACTTTTTAAAATCATACTTGATAGAGTAGAATATAATCTTTATAATACATTATACTTAAAAGATACATTGTTAAATAACTCAAAATTTAATTTGATAATTTTAGAGAAATATAACTGAATTAAAATGAAATGGTAGGAATAGGAACTATTTTAACATGAAATGATAATATATTCTTTTTTTTCTTTTGAATTTTAGCTAAAAGTGTAACAGTATTTACAAATATGCAACCAGAAATAAGTCAGAATAAAAATGCCAGTTATCTTAAGGTTTTATTGTAATTTATTATCTCTAGCTTTTTGAATAAGAAAAACCTAATTTTTTACTTTTGACAAGTTGTATAACAGTACCATTAAAAATCAATGAAAGTTTAAAATAAATAATAATAATTAATAAAATTTTTCACTATCTGTACACAAAGAATAGTACTTATACTTCGAATTCGATATACATATACCATCAGGAAGATGAAAGAACAATATAACTAAAAGATTTTATAACTTATTTTTTCTGCCTCAATTTATGGCCTATTTATTAATCCTTTATTTTCTGAGATGCTAATACATTTTATGCATTGTAATTTGGATTAGCATCAATTTTGTAACAAGAAGCAATCAACAAATGACTTTCAATAAAAAACAAAAACATTTATGAGATAAGAAGCAAATATAAAAATAAATAATATAATGACCAAAAATTCTTATTCAAATATTTTGCAAACTTATTAAAAAAAATGTAAGCAATTAGTTTAGGTCGTATAACAATGTTCCTGACATAGAAAAAAATACAATAGCGTAAAACAAATGCAATTATTAATTTTGAATTGAAAAAAAAATTGTGACAAATAAATTTTTATATAACTGGCACATATAACTATACAAAAATATACATCATATTTCAACAACACAGTAATTTATGGCTCACTAATTCATATATATGTACATAATTTATTTACAAAAAAATATATTAAATCCTTTTTCTTTATTTTATTTGAAAAAAAATCAAGACTTGAATAAAATAAAGTCTTTCTAGAAAAATTTGCACAAAAAAAACTAAAATTAATGCTTTTTTGTATTGTTAATTATGAACTATTACCTAAAGTACATCTCCAGGCAGTGACTGGGCTTAATTAAAACCATTTGTAAATCTGCTCACTTAAAGAAAACTTTTTGGGGGTTGTTTCAGGGGGTGTAAAAACAGAGTGAAAAAAAGATATTTATTTATTTCGGAATAATGATTTTGTTTAGAAAAATGTATCAAATTTTTGAGACTGAAATTTTCAAGATGATAAATTAATTTTACTAGTTTATTTTTTAATAAATTAATTTTTAAATAAATTAATTTTTAAATAAATTATCAGATTTTAGAACAGGTACCAAACTCCCAGTTGAATCTCTTCACTGTTTCCAGAATATCTATTGTGGTCACAAACAAATAACTGTATGGAATAAAAATTACTATTTAAACAAAGAAACAGTTATTTGTCAGTATGAATAATAAAATCATTGTTCAATACCATTTAAAAAATAACATCATAGATCAAATATGTAAAAAAACAAATGCAAATGTGATTAAAATAGTGATAAAAACACAATTTTCCTTTGTCCAAATATTGGTGAGTATTTGTGCAACTATAGTATATAAAAATATATGTTTAAATAGTTAACTATAGTACTAAAAAAACTAGCTAAAAACACAACTTAAAAGCCAAATATGAATAAAAACAATATAAAACAAATATATCAGTTGTGGATAGTTTCGACTCTTTACTGTTCTCCAAATAAAATTTCTGAAAATAGATTAAAAACAAATTATAGAATCAATTTCAGTTTGATTAAAGAACAAATATGAGTTAAAAAAAGGTTATTTCAAAATAAATTAAACACAATAAGCTATTTTTAAATTGAGTATAGTATTAAATGTGTAGAATATTAAGAAATCCTAAGGTTTAGGTGGGTTGGGCATTTAATTACAGTTAACAAAATAAAAAAAACAACTATTTACACTGTTCCCTCGCCACTTCGCGCATCATGTTTTGCGGCTTCAGTGCTTCGAGGGCTTTTCCAAAATATTCATCCAAAAATATAAATGAAAAAATGCAATCATGTCGGCAGACACGTTGCGGAAAGGAACGTTGTTTCATGTTGATGTGCAAGAGAGACGGATCCCTGCATGTTAAACAAGGAGATGAGTTGGCACTGAGTACATATACCACGGGCTCTCATAAAGGTGCATGATTGGTTGATTAATGTTTATTACTGTATAAGGCAGGGCTTGAAAAACCGCCCGTCCTCGGCGGCCAAAAAATTCCCAGCGGACAACAAATTTCTCGAATCCGACGTCCATGCGGACGGCCATTTTCTCGTTGATGTTCATGATACATTTTCAATTTTTGTCATTAGAATTGATGTTTTCTCCATCTGGTAGTACTGCAGCGGTTGAAAGTGGCTTTTCAGCAATGAACTTACGAAAAAACACATTACGTACTGATCTTAAACAAGAAACATTAAACGCAATTATGAACATCTACCTAAATAAAATAAAAAAAATTCAAATTTCTGTGCAGAAACCTCTGTATATCATTGGCTTGATTGTGGAACTGGCAAACATCATATTTGATTCATTCAAAAAACGCAGTACCCTCGGATAAATTGACATTCCAGATAACTTGACCTTCGTCATTTAAATTATTTCATAAAAGAAATACTAGGTTACTATTAATAACCTAGTCATTCCTTTATTGTATAATGTAATCCTAGCATTTGTAATCCTAGTAACTACTAATTCATTGTGCAATTTACATAAATATTTGTAATAAATAAGAGAAAATAATATTTTTATTTATTTAGAAGCGACGGATTAGTTTCAAAGGAGGACGGGTACATTGTTGGACAAGCCGTCCTCGGGGATGGGTAAAAATTCGAGCCCTGGTATAAGGTTTTGTAAATAACCTTATTAATTAGCACTGACACGTTTAAGTAAATACGTATATTGTTGTAATTTTTGTCTTAAAAATGTAAAGTATAAATACTGTTAACATATTTAAGACATTCGTGTACCCGCATACATGAAAATTCCTAGGGGCAAATCCTACTTCGCAGTTTATCAGCTTTCATGGAAGGTTCTGGTCCTCATTAATCGCGAAAAACAAGGGATCACTGTACTACATAAACTACTGAACTGCAAAAAAAATTATTAAACTTAGGTAGTTGAGCTTTCTTGACATTAATCTAAATACATTGAAAATAAATGGAGGGGGAAACTAAGACACAGATTGGGTCATCTAAAATCAAATTTGGAAGACCAGACCCAATCTTGGGCAGTGGCAATACTGAGGAAGTAAGATATCAATAAATAAATATAAAATTTTAAAGGTTAATTGAAAACTAAAAGTTAACAAAATACAGTAAGCTCTTTTTAAATTGAATATAGTTAAATTGAAGTGTTATGTTGAGTCATAAATAACTTCTAGTGCTCTTTTAACTTTCTGGAAATATATAAACAAATGGAATTTATATAACCAATTTAAGTTTGATAAAGAAACAAAGAAGTATAAAACTATAAAGGGTAATTAAAAAATATATCATAAGTTTCTTTGAAATTGAAATACTATATTGAATCATAAATAACTCCAGTATTTCCTATAATTTAATATCAGAAGCAAAGAGAACTCTTTAAGCTACATTAATCTATAGTATAAAAAGTGTAGAGCAAAATTTCTTTATCTTTTGTGAAAAATGAAATGTACAAAATTAAAATTAAAAATACAAATTTAAAAAAAGTTTTTTCATCAAAATCTATCTAGAAAACTTATTTATTTAAAATGTATAGCTGAACCTTTTTTAATCAATATTATTAATTTATTGAAATTTTCTATTCATTATAATTACAATTGAAATTAATTATTAATTTTAATCATTAGTATTAATTCATCATAAAATCATTCTAATTAAATCAGTATATTTATTGTATTTGTCATTTCCTAATGCATGAGAGACATCTTTTTGAAGAACATAAAAAAATGAATATGTTGGATCTCTATAAATGATTTTATACTGTGGGTAATGTATTGACATGGATACAAATCATTGGTACATTATGATTTATCTTTAATCATTGATAGTTAATATAAATACAAACATGTATAATTGAAACCAAAATCTATTGAAGAACACATCATGATCAAGATGTACGGGTAAAACTATATTGCATTGACGCAAACAGTATGTAAAATTAAAAAAATTTAACATTTTAAGCAGTTGGAATAAATAAGATACTTACTTTCTGCCCCTTATCCACCTACGGAATTTATCAGCATGTGTCCTTACATTTCGACCTGAAAATTATGAAATTTATGGAATTAAGTTCTTTAGTGACATATTTTTTTTAAATTTGGAAAAAGAAACTTATATTTACCAGCACTGATAAAGGAAAACCTAATAAAAATTTACTTTTAAACAAATATATATGTATATATACATTGCAGCTTATGCGCGGTAAATAAAACTTTTTAATTTTCCTTGTTTTCCTCTCCTTTTTTTTATCTTTTTTTTGAGCTATATATATATATATATATGATATCAATATAATACTTTGAGACAGTTAACTACAAATTTTTACATTTTATTTAAAATTATTTACCTACAGCACTTTCATAAAACTGTCAAAAATTTAACCCTGAATTTGATGTAGGAATTTTGGTTAATTTATACTTGAAGCCAAATATTATAAAGTTTATTTTATGTATTTAGCGTCAAATTATAATAACTGGAACTTTTAGGAACTATACTGTTGAGTCCAAAAAGAAGGATAGGGTATACTTAGACCTACATAGATTAGAGTAAAAAATAACATGAGTAAAGAACAGATAAAGCACAGAAATGGACATACTATAGTTTCGGTTCTTTAAACAAAGGCCTACCTTAGTGTCTAAACACCAAACATACCACTTTCCTCAGCATCTATGCACCTCATATTTAGAAATTGAAAAAAGGTTCTTGTTTAGAGAACTGAAACTATAGTATGTCCATTTCTGTGCTTTACCTTAACATACTTTTGAAAGTTGGCTCAAGTTTTGACTAACATTCAAAGATACACTTTGTGATTTTTCAATTAATGTCACTCGAGAAAAACATAGCTAATGATAAATACTCCATAATTTTGTTATCATATTTAAATTTTGCTTATAAAACTATAACATAAAAATGACAACCATAAAAAATATATAGTGCAAAACCAATTTAAAACAAAATATAAAAGAACTTACTAATTAAATAGTTAGTTTCAGCAAGCATTTCTGGTTCAGCAACATCTCCCAATAAAATGCGATACTGAAAATAAAACAAAAATTAAATATTTTAGATATCTATTTTTTGAAGCATTTTCAGATTAATTTGGCTTTATATTGAGTTTCAAAATCTATATTTCATCAATTTATATAACAGTTGATTTGAGTATTCATACTTAACAGTATTTAATTGTAAAAATTTGCATGCTATTTATAATTATGTTCAATATGTGATTTGCAGTATTGTATATGTTAAGTATGTGACCTGTTAATGTAATTGTATAAATATTTGATTGCGATGTTATTACAATTCTTCATATGCGAGGCATTTTTGAAAGTAAAGATGCTTCACAGATAGCAACAAAAGAAATTTTTTTGTGAGTATGATGGCAACATAAACAGTAACCTTGATTTTCCCTCGAGGTCATTTGTTATTTTTATGGTGAGCCTTGATTGAGCAGCATGTCTTTATAACATCTGCATTAATTCAGAATCTCTCCAGATGTGAATCAGAATCTTGTGTTCTTGTCCTCACACAGCTTTTCAAACCAAAGCACTACTTAAAAGTTTCAAATGAAAAATTTTAGATCATCTGCTATATAGCTCGGACCTTTCATTTATTCCTTAACCTGAAAAAGCATCTCGCAGGGAAAAACTTTCATAACGATGTGATTAAAACTGAAGTTGGAATATGGTTCCGACAACAGGCCGCAAAGTTCTATGACTATGGAATATAAAAGCTTGGACCCAGACTTAACAAATGCTTTGACAATGACGGCAAATATGCCGAAAAAAAAGTCTTGTACCAGTAAGTAACTCGTAATGTACATTTAATGATTTCAATTGTTTTCAAGTGAGTCTGCGGTATTCTATCTTGGCTCTTCGAAAATGCCTAATAATTATAAAAGTAGGTTTCATAATATTTTTTTTAAATATGGTTCTGGAAAAAAAACTACAATTATACAATTTTTGAAGAAATTCATTGAATTATATTTTTCTTATGTTTACTTTTTAGTTTTCATTCATTTAAAAATTATGTATAAATAACTTGGCAAATAATGCTATTATTTAAACTAAATTTCAGTCATAAACTACTATTTATGAAANTTATAATTATAAAAGTAGGTTTCATAATATTTTTTTAAATATGGTTCCGAAAAAAAACTACAATTATTCAATTTCTAAAGAAATTCATTGAATTATTTTTTTTATAATGTTTACTTTTTAGTTCTCACTTATTTAAAAATAATGTATAAATAAGTTGGTAAATAATGCTAATATTTATACTAAATTTCAGCCATAAACTACTTAAAAAATTATTTTGATAATTATAAAAGTAGGTTTCATAATATTTTTTTAAATATGGTTCCGAAAAAAAACTACAATTATTCAATTTCTAAAGAAATTCATTGAATTATTTTTTTTATAATGTTTACTTTTTAGTTCTCACTTATTTAAAAATAATGTATAAATAAGTTGGTAAATAATGTTAATATTTATACTAAATTTCAGTCATAAACTACTTAAAAAATTATTTTGATAATTGATACTTTATTTTTGAAAAAGATTCTCCCATTCCTTCTAGTGTCAAAGAAACTTTCTATACCTGATTTAGAAAGAATAAAAAAACTTCAACAATAATTATTGTACATAGATAATATTTACTTCGTCAGATGGTCTAGTTTCCTCAGTAATGTGTTCTTTAGCTAAATCTAATTCCTCTTCAATTCTTCTCTTTTGATCTCTTTCATTGATCAGAGCTCTATCGAGGGCATCATTTGCTTTCCGTAACTCCTGGCATGTTCTTTCACTTTCCATTAATCTACTTGCAAAGAGAAAAAAATGTTTCAGCTTTTTCCATAATAAGTAGTTAGTGAGTAAAACAAGAGAAATTTATTATATAGAATAAGAAATTTAACAAGATGTTAAATAGTACAGTATTGTAAATAATTTATGAAAATAGTGAATTTATACCAGCTTTCTTGCAAAACATATCAACAGTTGTCATTAAAATCAAGAAAGAAAAGCAATATAAAAATAATACATAAATTAATAAATATAAAAAATTATTCAAGTACTAAATTTTTCATTCATTGGTTCGTGCATAAACATGTAATTAATGAATATGACGATTTTCATAACTAGATTTAGACATTGTTTAGACGGAACAATTACAATCAAACTTTTACAACAAATGCCAAATCGTTTTTACTGGAGAAAATTTATGTGAAATAAAATTTATGTTTCTCGTATTTGAAATAGAACATTAAAACTTTATTTCGCTTTAACCTATGTGACCTTAATAACAAAACGGAAAATTAAGATATATTATTCATAACTAAGAGTATTTCATTTAAAATTAGATAAAATTACAGCTAAAAACAAAACAAAAATGAGCTTATAAAATTCCATTATTTTTAATTTGTTAAATTGCAAAGAGAGTAAATTCATAGAATTAGCATTTTATAGAAAAAAATACAATATATATTTTAGATTTAGATTAATCTTCATGCTATTTTTCTCATAAATTTTTTCAGAAGTACATGTCTGAGGTGAATTGTTTAATAAATTCCATAATCACAGTTTTTCAACAATCATTTAACTGGGGAAATTGGAGAATATTGTTAATTAGAACTCATTTCTCTCTTTTGTTTAACATACCTTTCATGGAGAGCTGCTAACTGCTTATCAGGAACAGTTGATTCAACCTAAAAATGTAATAATATAGTTAATTATAATAGTTAAATAAAATATACAAAAAGAAAATAGATTAAATTGCTTTAATTTTGCTTCTGCTGGTTTTGTTACTTTGCTCTGCTGTTGTGTTACCTTTGCAGAAAAAAACGGAACAATTACAATCAAACCTTTTACAACAAGAGCCAAATCGTTTTTACTGAAGAAAATTTATGTAAAATAAAATTTATGTTTCTCATATTTGAAATAGAATATCAAAACTTCATTTCGCTTTAACCTATGTATTCAGTTTTATGTTTAAAATCAAAGTAATAGATAATAGCTTCAACTCAATGTAGTTTATCAATTTTATTTTCATTAACTATTTCCAAAAATAATAAGTAATATAAATAATAAATATCAGTCTTTTGTAATTATCTTCTGTAATTTTCTAAAAAAAATATTTAAAAAAAAACATTTCAGTTAAAATTTGCAAATTTAATAATAGGTTCAAAAAAGGAAATAAAAATGTTTTTTTCTTAATCATGAATAAAATAGTGGACATTTAAAAAAAATTGGAAACTAAAGCAAAGAATATTTTTATTTTCCACCTTTTTATTTATAAAAGTTACAACCTTACACTGACTTAAGAGACTGAAGAAAAAATTATAATAAAGGTATATGAAAAAGGTTAGGCATGCATCAAGTGCCTTAAACAACAAATGTAAAAAAGAAATAGTAGTACTCTTTTCAATTAGAAATTATAAAAAGAATTGAATAAATGGTTGTGCAAAATCAAAATGTTCAAAATGTATGAATACCTTTATTGATTGAAGATCTGATGTAGAAGTTAAGCTATCCTGGTCAATTGTAACACCAGGATTCAACTGCATATACTGTTGTACTTTCCATTGTAAGATGTTCCTTTCTTCCAATAGCTGTAAAAACAAAACATATATTTTTAAAAATCTCAACTAAGAAGAGAAAATTTCACTTAGAATTTTGTCTGGATATGTGTATGTTGTCACAAGAAACAAAAACATTATTAACAATAAATTTTGTAGATAGATGTGCATAATAGAAAATAACCTAGTCAAAGTTTAATTCCACTGATGCCATTAAAAAGAATACTATCTATACAAATAACTTAAAATATAATAATAATTTAATATTAAACATTTAAATAAATAAAAGCATTATCATTACAAAATTCAAAAAAAGACTAAATGTCACAACTATTTTTCATATAAATTACAGATTTGTTTTAATATTTTAAATCTCACTAAATTTTAAAGTAATTGAGGCCACTAAAAAAATAATAAATATAGAAAATAAATTTAATAAAAACACCAACATGTGAATAAAAAATTACATTAATAAGAGTAGACTTTATTATCTGCATGGAAACATAAACTGGTTATCACAAAATTTGAAATATAGAAGCTTCTAACAGAAACAGTAACAGAGAACAGAACACAGCGTAAACAGTAATATTTTAACCTAAAAATGGATGTGATATAAATAATTCTGTTATTTAGGAAACATAGTGATTTAGCAATAAATTTCAACACTGTACTAGTTGATTAGTAAAATTACAGCTTTTTCCTGCATATTAGCTTAAGTTATCAAAGCTCCTACCCCAAACCCTGAAAATTCTTAAATCAAAAATATCAGCCATATCAAGTGATCCATATTGCTTTACTATGTACTTGTGTATAAAAAGATCATAATTTTGCTCACTCATAGTTCTATGCAATTTAAAAATAAATTCATACAAAAATGAAATTTATAGTTTTTTTAAAAAAAGAAAGAAAAAAAAATAGTAAAATCATAACATTTACCTTGCTAACTTCCAAGCTTAATTCTTCACATCTTAAGCCCTGATTGTGCAGACTGTTCATAGCCTGCTGGAGCTCATTCTCCAAATGCCTTACATTAGGTTGACTCATTCTACCAACTGACTGAGTAGGTGAAGACTGCATTTGTTGCAGTTGTTGCTCAAGCTTAATAATTTTCTCATTGAATAAAGATTCTTTAGAGGCATATTCCTGTTGCAAAAATGTGTTCATCTCCTTTGTAAAATTTAACTCTTCAATGAGGGTATTTAACTGCAACTTTATCTGGTTGTTTTCTTCTTGCAATAGATTTTGAGATCCTTTACTAGTTTGTGATAATTCGTTATTTGGAGGAAGATCGGATTTAGCTCTACTCAATGCATCATTTAAGTTGATTTTGACTTTCTGCAGTTCAGACGACTTTTCAGAAAGTTGATGTTGGAAATAAGTCTTCTCTTTTTCCAATAAATTTAAATTCTTTTGGTAAGTTTCACATTCTAGTTGGAGGGTTTCAAGACGCAGTTGTAAATCTGTGCATTGAGACCTCAAAGTGACACACTCATTTTCTATTTTAATAGCACGTGCTTCTGCCTCAACAGTTTTGCTTTCATCAGGACAAATGTTTTTCAATTTTGTATCATAATCCTTTTCTATAGCAGTCAGATCTGAATCATGCTTTTCTTTCATTTCTATTATTCGTTTCTCTAAAGAGTTCTTGCTCGTTTTAAGCTTTTCAATACAACTCTGAAATGCATCATTATCAGATAGAAGCATGTTGGCATGCACTCTTAGGTTCTCAGCTTCATTCTCTAAATGGAGATTCTCTGTTTTGAGTTCCCCAATTTGAAGATTCAAATCAGATATAACTGAATTTGCACTCTCAAGTTGTTCATTTAGATTTTTTACCATTAATTTCAGACGCTCACTGTCTTCTTTTAAAAGTTCATAAGAAACATTGGTTTGCTCCCAAATTTGCTTGTATTCTTGCAAATCATGCTGTGCTTTGAAATAGTCTTTCTCTAAAATAGAATAGCGCTCCTTCATTTCAGAAATAGCAGAATTTAAAGTACCTACATCAAACTTGTTTTGCTCTACCAGTGATTGCATTTGAGTCATATAGGTAATTTTTTCGTTCCCTTGCAATGCAATCTTTTCTTCAAGAAAGTTAATTTTATCTAGATTTTTGGCATTAATATCTTCAAATTCTGATTTAGCTATTTCTGATACTTTTAGTTTTTCATTCAGTTTTTCTTTTTCATCTTTAAAATGCTTCAATTTACTTAGCAATTTTGCAAACTTCTTCTTATATTCTAGTAACTCGTCTTTTAAAGACTTATTTTGTTCTTCGAGGGATTTTAAGGTGGCCTCTGGTACAGAAGAGGAGGCTTGTTGAATCAGGTTTGATTCAAGCTTTTGTTCCATTGGAGTTTCAACAACTGGGATGATTTTGTTCATAGATTCATTTTCTGCTTCATTGGATTTCAGAGAGTTCCTTTCTTTTAATAATACTTCTAATTCCTCTGAGATTTTTCTGTTTTCTGATTCTAAAGAAGCGATTTGGTTTTCTAAAATCTTATTTTCTGTCAAGCAAGATTTTTCCAGGCTTAGACATGAATGCAGATCAGAGAGAATTTTTACACTATCCTCATCTAATAAATCAGCTAAGGATGTTATGTTAAATTCTTTGCTTTCAGTAAAATAGTATCTAATTTCCTTTACAGCCGATTTCAAATAGTTATTAGCCTTCTCTAAAGATGATAGTTTGTCAATTACTTGCATTTTTTCAGTGGATTCAAGTTCTAATTTTGTTGAAGTATATTTAAGTTCCTCAGTCACTTCTTGATACTTGGATGAGACATCAGTACACTCATTTGCTAAAGAATCAATTTTTTCCCCGAGCTGACTAATCAAAATATCTTTTTCTTTTATAGACATTTGAAATTCAGCTTTTCCGATAGTTAATTCATTCACTTCAACTTTCAATTGATCAAGATAATTTTCGAGTAAAGCTTTTTCATTTGTATTTTCTTGGATAAGCTGCTTGTAATGTTCAATTTGTTCTACAAGAGAATTAATATTTTCTTGAAGCTCATGATATTTGTTTTTATGCATTTCTGCTTCTCTTTCAAGTTCTTTAAATTTCAAATTACTTGAGTCTGAGTAGATGGTCTGTTCATGGGAAAATTGTTCTAATTGACATTTCATTGACTCAAAATCTTTTTTAAGAGATGCTTCAGATGCAAGGGAGTCAGTTAATTTTGCTTTAAGAGTATCACAATCTTCCTGAAGCATTGTTTTTTCTTTGTGAATTTTATCAATACAGTCATTTTTATCGACAAGCAAGTCATTTAGATGATCAGTTAACTTAAAATACTCATTAATGGTGGAAGAACATATGACATCAATAGTTTTTAAATCTTTATCCTCAATAGCTGACATTTCACGCAAGTGAAGTAATTTCTCTTTAAAATCAAATTTCATAAGTGTATCAGAGTCGAAGAAAGTATACATATTTTCAATTTGATTGCAAGCTTTCCTGTTTAAATTACAAAGGGATAAAGCTAAATCACTTAAAATGTCCTTCGATGCTTTAAATTTAAGCTTAAATGAATCAACTTTTGAGTTCATGTGAGTTACACTGCTTTCTTTTTCACTAAGAGAAGATACCATTAAATTAAATTTAGAATCCATGTTGTTCATATTTTCACTTATTTCAGACACTAAGTTTGCAATGTTTTCCTTTTGAGTGATGTAACTATTTAATAACGAAGAATTCTCCTCTTTCAATTTTTTTAAATCTTCTTTAAGAAAAGTGATGCTATTTTGGTTTTCTAATAAACAGGCTGAGCTACGTTGAAATATTTCTTTTGAACATCGTTCAAAGTTCTCTAAAGAAGAATCATTTGGCTGATCACTTTCTAGCAATGATGTATCGATGTCAGTTTGAAATGATGCTTTAAGCAAGTTTATAAGAGAACAATAATGCTGCCTACACTGGCTTAAATACATAAATTTAGTTTCAATAGAGCTATTTTCCACTTCTTTTTTGGACAACAAATCTTGCAATTTTTGAGTATCTTCTTGCTGAGATTGCAAATGAATTTTCAGCTGGGATATTAGCTCTTCTTTTTCAGCCACTTTATTTTTTAGGAGTTTACTTGATTCTGTCATTGATTCAATTTTCTCTTGTGATTCAGAAATGGCATCTGAAAGTGTTTTATTTTCAGCAAGAGTTTTATGTAGCATTTCTTCCATTTCCGATTTTTCACCTGAAAGTTTCATATTAGATATGTTTAGTTCCTCTTCAACAGTTTTTAATTTACCTTCCAGCAACTTTATTTGCTTTTTACAATTTGCACTCTCATTTTCAAGACTTACTTTTTCTTCTTGTAACAAATTGATTTCATTCTTCTGAGCATCAATTAGTGCATAATTATCATTTACAACGTTTTGCAAAGAATCACGCTGCTCAGAGAGTTTGGAGTTGTCAGCCTGAATAACTGTTATCAGTAATTCAGCATCTCGCACACGAGACATTATTTCTTCACCCATCCTTGAAGTTTCAACTGAATAGCTGTTTTGCAATGAAATAATGTTATTTCTAAGTAGCTTATTTGCATCTGTTAGATTTTCTACTTTTTGCTTATGGAAAGAAATGAATTCATGAAGTCCATGCTTCAGACTTATGTGCTTTTGAAGATCATTACTCATTAATCGGAGCTGTTCTGAAAATTCTTCACATTGACTCTTATAACTATGCAATGATGTTGAAGCAATCTCCAAATCTTTCTGCATTTTGTTTGTTACATCTGACATCTCTGTTGTTTTTTCTTCAAGAATTGATTTTTCTTTCATTACATTTTGATACAGATTTTCCTTTTCATTAATTTGAGATTGAAGATTCTCCAATAATTGTTTTAAACTATTAATTTCCTCACGAGCATTCGAAAGATTTGAAAGTAAGTCAGAGTTTTGTTTTTCTAGTACAGATTTCATTTCTTCATATTCAGAGTGCATTGAGTTAAGTTCTTCCGTTATTTTGCTTAACGAATTTTTCAATAAGTTATTATGTTCAATCCATTCTTTCCCCTTTTTATCCATCTCTTTCAGGTGTTCTTCTTTTGCTTCAATTACTTTATTTTTTTCTTCAAGTTTCATGTGTAATTGCTTTACATGACTTCCTTTAGATTGCACCATGCTTTCATAATCAGCAATTCTCCGATTCAAGCTTTCAATTTCAGAGGATTTATTTTCTAATGCAAGCAACATCTCTTTCATAGTTGCATCTCTTTCATGAATAGTTCTATCTTTTTCTTCACATATTTCATGCAAGTCTTTGTTTTTTGTTGATATCTCATTGAGTTCTGAATTCACAGCAGTGATGACTTCATTTTTAGAATCTAATTCTTCTCTCAAAAGAGTTAACTCTTTTTCTAAATCTGAAATTTGGTCTAAAAATATTTTTACTTTATCTTTGGATTTTTCACTCTCAGAGTTTATTGAAATTTCAGCTTCATTCAATCTCTCTTTCAAGATATTTTGTTGCTCACTATACTTTGAAAGAAGTGTTTCCTTTTCTAATAAAACTTCCTCTAACTGCTTCATATTTAATAAATTATTTTCTAAATCAGAAGATAATTTATTGTTTATATCATTTTTCTCCAGAATAACTGCTTTAAGATCTTCAATCTCAGATTTACAAGAAGATAATTCATTTTTAAGTTTGTCAAGACATGATTGTAAATGGTTATTACTTTCCACATGAGCTTGTATTGTGTTATCTTTGTCTTGCATTGTTGATAACATCTTATGATTTTCTCTATTTTTCTCAGAAATTGAGTTTTTCGATTCTAATAATTCAGACTCACAAGAATCCAATTTACTTTTTAGGTTATCAATAGAGAATTGTAAATCCTGATTATTTGTTGTAAAAGCTTGAATTATGTTATTCTTTTCTGACAAATCTGACACTAAGTTATTTTTTTCAAGAATGATAGCCTCATAATTGTCTTTTACCCTTGTAAGCCCTTTCACATCTTTAGCATTAAAGAGATTGAGAATCATCAATATATCTTTTTCAACATTTTGCTTTTCTTTTTCTAAATCTCCTAAGAATGCAGTTTTGGAATCCAAATTATCTTCTGATGCTTTCAGTTTTACTTTCAAATCTGCAATGTCAGCAGCAGATTTTTCCTTCTCCATTGACCATTCAGTTTCTTTTTCATGAAGTATTATCTCCAATGAAGCAATTTTTGAAGTTATTTCATTCTTTTCTTTTTCCAGCTCATGTTTTTCTTGCTCTAAAATCCGCACGTTATCTTTAATTTCTGAATTTTCTTTCTCCAGCTGAATGAAAGGTCTACTCGAATCATTTAACGTTTCTTCTAAGTCTGCGATTTTAGATGCTAGTCTTTTATTGCGCTCCTCATCCTCTGCAAAACAAAAACATAGAATTACATTACTAAGGATTTTACAACACTTATATGTATAGAATATTATACTAATAATATAACAAGAATATTTTAGATGTGATCAAACTTAGGGTTCTCAATAAAGGACTACTTTTTTTTCTATCACAATTTCACCTAAAAATTTCTTTGAAAAATATTTATCATTTGACATTAAGACCTTAATAAAATATGACTTTTTAATAACAAATCAGAAATTTGTAAAAATAGCGAAGTTTGTAAAATAATTTTTTATAATGAATAATGAAAAAAAAATAACCTTCACAGAAAGAAAAATACAAACTTAAAACTATATTCTTTTTTTAAATGTAAATGAATTATTAAAATTTAAGTTTAATTTTTATTTAAGCTTCATTTGATTTTTTATTAATTTTATTTTGCTAATTTTATTTTGTCTACTGTATTGTTTTGTTTATTGTATTTTTTTATTTTGAATATTTTATTTCATTTTGTATATTTTATTTTATTTTTTTAATATTAAAATTTAATGTTATTATTTATTTTTTTGCTCAGACAATAAGATTTATTAATTTCTTTTAAATGAAAAAAAATTATTTATGCTATTAAAATTTTAATTATTCAGTCATTCTAAAATTATCATTCTGAATTAATGTGCTGGATTGAGAGTAGTTGTAAACTCAAATGCAAAAACAGTTTTAAGTTTTTTTTTCCAGTAATGAAGTAGAATTTTTAAAAATGACAAAATAAAATTAGACATTCATAAAAAGAATAATGTAGTTATTTTTATAGAATTTTCAAAATAAAAAATATTCACAAATTAAACCAAATTTAAGGGCAAAGACACAAAATGCTTTTCCTTTACTCCTAATATTTATTGCCTGATGAACATGTTTTTCACGAGTTCCAACCTCAAAGTCTATATGCGTTTCTTTTTTATTTTCATTTCAATGAAAACCTTTGATAACAAATTTAAATGATTAAATAACGTGGAAGAGACATGTCCAGCTAGGTCAACTATTAGTAGGTTTTTTATGCAAGAGAATTTAAATGCTAAAAATTTCTTTCATTTCAGTTATCAATTAACAGCTTACATTACTTTATTTAGAAAATCAGATCTAATACAAAACTTTTATGTACTCATACAAACAGGATCTAAAATTTGAAAAACTCAAAGTATGAACTGAATATCACGAGTATGAAATAGAATAAAAGTTATAAAATACATTTCCTTTACGAAGATACACGATTGTTTATGAATGCTAAATACTTCTTTATTTCAGCATTATTCTCTAGAATATAAAAAGAAATTGCATGAATGCAGGATACTCACTATCTCTTATTTCTTCAAGTTCAATTGCTTTAAGTTCATAAGCCACTTTTTCATCTTTTGCTTGCTGTAGATTTTGAGCCATTTCATTATATTTATTTTCAAGACTACTATACTTTTCCTTTAAGTCATTCTAAAAATATATAAAATCTAATGCTTAAAACAAAGTATATACAGGCATAAATAGGAACAAGTACAGATAATACCCACAATTTACCCTATTTAATGCTTAAATGGTGAGTAGATTTCAATTACAAATTTAAAATTTCTATTTCAAACTTAAGAATCTGTTCATTAAATTATTATAGTTTTAAATTTAAATCAAATGTTTCAGACAAAATATAGACAAGGGGAGTGTGTTGCATCTAGGACCAATTTTAACTTTTTATTTTTTTATGTAGAAAATCATAATAATAAAAATTTTGTGGGAAATACATTATGCATTTGTCTATTAATGTATTTTTTATGAACAAATTCCATTATGCACTTCAGAAAAACTGTTGTTTTTTTTAAAGTAAGAAAAATTGGTACAAGGTAAAACACAACACTTTATCACAAGTTATTGGATTATACTCTTTAGATAACTAGTTACATACGTGACAGATAGTTTTGAAAAAATAGCTAGATACATTATGAGTTACTTTCTTCTTAACTTGTTAGGATGGCATGAATATGTAGATCATATTCTATCAGATAATGTAAACTGTAACCTTTATATTACAAAAAACTACGCAAGTCTATTTGAGAAGAATGGCGTAATATTAATAAAAGTTAATATTACAGCTCCTTTGACTATAATAACTGTATAAATAACTCCTTCTTTATTACTTAATATTTTATCAAAATATTTCAAGAAGTTTTAGAAATCTTCATTTAAAAAAAAATTTTCATTGTGTAATATTTAAGCAGATAACACAGAAGGTTTCACATTTCCTAAAAATAATGTTAACATCAAATAAATAGAAATATTGTGAACATCTGACGATACACTGTATAATGGTTATCCACTTAATATAAATCCAAAACAGCTGAGACTAAATAACTTTTTTCTTCTTCCACAAAAGGAAAACCAAACTTACATGATAAGATTCAATGCTTCTTTTATCTTCAAGTAAAGCTGTCATATCTTCTTGAGTTTTGAAATGTTCCTGACTCAATATATTGAATTTTTCTTGGATCTGTAAAAAAATTTAAACCTAGTATGATCAATTTTGAATGATAGGTCATACATCAAACTGGAATGAAAAACACTTTAAACAAAATGAATAAGAAATTAATTTGAATCTAAAAAAACTTTTAAAAAATAAAATAAAAAACAAAATGCTACACAAGAATACGTAATTTTTAACAGGGTGCGTAGCCAAATCTTTCAACAAAAAATAAGCACCTTTTAAGTACTTTTTTTAAGCACTCAAAAAACATTTTAAGCACTATATACATTAACAAAATGCAAAATAACCTTCAGACTTTACATGATCATGATAAAATGACTAGTTCCTGACTAAGAACTCTTTTCATGATTATATTAACCACCATAAAAAGATCGAGAGATTTTTCGGTTCTATTTCAGAGGGTGGAAAATGAAGCCTGAAATTTAGAACATCTTGCAAAATGTAGCAGAGTTGCACATGAGAGTGTAAGAATTTCATAGAACCCAGCTAAGTATTTCATCAAACATGTAAAATGATTGGTGGTTTCATACTTTACAGACTGACGGTACGTCAAAATGCATTATTTCAAAGGAATTGTAAAAACTTTGGATAAAACAACGTGAAAACCACATTTCGTCATAATACATGCCTAAAAACGACATGGTAATGAAAAAAAGTCCCATTTTTTGAAAAGAGAAATTAAGCACTTTTTAAAAACATCCAATAAAAAAGCCCCTTTAAGGACTTTTAAAAAACGAAAATCAAAAATAAACACTTTTTAAAAACGCTATGCACCATGTTTAAAGAATAAATAAACTTTAAATAGTTTTAATGATTTTTAAAAAAATTATTATTTTAAATTCACACTTTCCCAACTATTACAGAATTTCCATAGTATAGATATTTTTTCTAGTGGTAGCAAGATCAACATATTAGAATTAAAACAATTTTTGCCACCACTACATATCATGTTTTTGAGTACTGATTAAAGATTTAGAAAAATTCAACTCATTTTAAAAATTTCTGCTTCAATTGACTACTATTAGAAAAATTATTTTACAAAAACCTCAAAACTTGGAGAGTATGTTTTAATTATTATTTTTCGACCAAGTATGATGAAAATTAAGTTGGCATATTCAGAAAGATTATTCCTGTGTAACTTTTATTATAATAAAATATTAAAAAATGAGAATCACTATCCATCACCTCATTCAAATTATGTATAAACATAAAAAGTGCTGAAATCAGACAGTGCTGAATAACACAGTGCTGAAATCAGACAAACACAAAATAGAATCTACAATAATTGACGAAATAAAAAATTTATGTTATCAATAAATATTAAAAATTGGTTTAAAATAAAACCAAACTTACAGTAACAAAATCAGAATGCAATGCTTCATATTTTGCTTCCCATTTTTTACTTTCCAACTGATATTCTTTTATTTCTTTTTCATAAGTTTCAGCTTTGATTAAAACTTTTTCATAATCCTGTTGTACAGCTGCGTTGACTTCTTTTAAATTTTCTAATGATTAAAAAAATATTTTAAATTTAAGGTAAAAGCAAATAAGAATAAAACTTCATAATACTCTAAAAAATACAAAATTTAAAAAACAATTCTTGCACTTATTCATAGAATTATCAACATTATTTTGGACAAACACTACACAAAAATCCATCAAAATATTTAATTCATTATGTTTATTGATCATGAAGACCAATGATAAAAAATAACTTCAAAAGTTAACCTTGCACTGTAAAACGAATGCCAAAACTTATTCCAGTAGTTACTATTAGAAATAGGTTCAGTTTTTCTTTGTTTTTTTTTGTATTCGTTGGTTGTACATTAGCTTTCTTCAGCTTTGAAATTCGACGAACCAATGGTCTTGAGATACACGAAATTCTGCAATATTCAGGGAGAAATCGCATACTTTGCTTCTAATTTTTAGACCAGGAAGAATGATACGAAAAATCTAGAATTTCAGGATACACACAGGTAATAACAGGGTAATACAATACATATCGGGGTAATACAATCACCCCTGCACTTATTTTGTAATCTTGTGACTGAATTCAATAATAACGTTCATCCTACATAAATAATACAAAAAAGTCAATAGCAAAGATTTAGTCAAAGATACTTCATTTAAAGAAAAAGAGAATCTTAATTGTATGCATAAATGCATGTAAATAACATATGAAAAATNCACAATATTAAATCTTAAAACATGGTATTTCATTAACTAGAGATATTTCAGAAATAAATAACAGTTCTTTTAGATTTTGCTTTTTAAAACTTCAACTTACATTTTTTAATTCATTTAATTCTCTCTCTAATTTCTTTGCTTTTTTCCGTTCTTCAACTCGAGCTTTTAGAATTTTATTTTGAGACTCAGCGTTATACTCATCCAAAGTTTTCTGAAGCTCGGCACTATGCTTTTTCTCAACATCTAAATCTTTTTTCAATACTTCAATTTCACCTTTAAAATGAAAAAAAAGGACATATTACTTAAATCAAACTATAAAAATTACTCTTTGAAAACAGAACTTTAATTCTGAAGGATTAAAATTAAATTCAGTTCCTGACTTGTTTTCAACTAATTTCCGCAAAACAAGTTTTTTTTTAATAAGTCTAAATAAATTTAAACGTAGAGGAAAATAAATGCTTCAATAAATTTAAGGTAATCAAATTGTTAGAAGCATCAAATTGTTAAAAAAAGATTTAAATTAAATTTAAATAAAATATTAAAAATATACCTTATTAGATTTAATAGTAATAAGTGAATTAAATAGAGGGTAACCCAGTTAAGTTTGTCACTTTGGAAAGTTGGACAACCCTGCTGAAATTGGCTATAGTAAATATCGATAATGAAACACCAAATCGACATAAACAATTGCTTTTCATAAATTGACCACCTGTCTAAATGGACTATCGAAATGGTGCATAATAAATGACCAACATATTATATATATTTGTGGGCACCTTTTACATCTAACACAATACACATTTTTGAGTTTTGATCCTTGGCTTTTATTTAAAGAGTACAGTGTAAAAATGTTTAGTAACATTTTAAAAACATTTGAGCACATTAACTAGTGTTGTAACGAAGAAAGAAAAAAGATGTTATGCATTAAGGTGTTCTACAAAGCTTTTCATTTGCTTAATAAATAAATAAATAAGGTACAAACATGGAGAAGTGAAAAATCTTTGTAAGTTATCAAGTTTTGAAACAGTAATTTGATGATCCATTTACATAGATAATCAAATAATAAAGAAATGATGCAATTGTTATCATCAAAATAGGATTCCTTAGGATTTTGATTTGATTAAAGATATCAAGACCAAAATCCTAAGGAAAATAATGTAGTACATAGAATTTAATATATTAATCACCATTTAAAAAATTGAGTTCAGTATAAAATGAGGATTACACTACTTAGAAATTCTGATAATCATATTTCAATAACAGAAAAATTTTACGCAAAATTAGCAAATTATTAAATATTTGTAAATTCATGGTTATATTTATTTCAATTTCTGTTAACTCATAATTCTAACAGACAATTCTTAAAAAAAACACACATAAAAAAAATATTTGTAACATTCAGGGGCCCCTAGACATGAAAGAACCTAAGCCCAGGCCTTCTGAGAAATCAGGTCCTGAAATGGAAAGCTATAAAAAGAGAAATATATTGCAGTCATTAAAAAGAGTTTTAAAAAACATTTTATAGTTAATACTTTTAATTAATAGAAGTCAAAAACACTGGGTGGGTTAAAATGAGAATTTAAAAATGCAAAGGCAGTAAAAGGGACCGAAATAAGCATATTTCATAAATGAATGAGTGTGAGAAGATGTCACGTTGAGTCAATAGAGAGCTCTCTTGCTTAAATTGAACACTGATGCATGCACTGTTATGAAACTTGCATTGCTGTTGGTGGTTCCTCTTTCAAGGAGCAATGGAAAACTAACAAATTGTAACATTATTGTAAACTGTTTGATTGTAAATTAATGTAATTGTATCGTTCCAAAATGGTTTTTGCTTTGTTAACTTTCTTTTCCCTCTCTTGTGATTAATGCTACTTCCTCCACAAAATCAATTTATTTCGATCCCCTCTACAAACCTTTACATTTTCGACATTTAGTTTTCAACCATCCTGTATAAGTGTTTGTAATTAAAGTTAAAATGTACTATACCATATTATTACTTTAAAATAATAATAATGAAAGAATGTACCTTGGATTTCTTTGTTAAATTGTTCACACTGTCTGGAAGCACTTTCCTGAACATTGACAATTTTTTGTTGCAAATCAGCATTTTTAACAGACAGTTCATACCTAGTAGATTCTAGATTTTTTACTGTAGCTTCACTTGTTTTTAATTTCAATTCCAATTCATTCATAACATTTTCTAAATCATCGATCTTTTTTTGATGTTTTTCAAGTTGAATTTTCCAATCACTTTCGATTGAACTAAAATTTTGCTGCATGATTTTCATTTGATCACGAGTTTCATCAAGTTCAATGACAGTGGTTTGACCTTTTCGATTTAAATCTTCAGCCATTAACTACATAAACAAAAAGTCAAACAATTAGGACATTCATTAAACTTATAGTTTTGAATTTAGTTAAATAAACAATAAATTTCCTTTGTGCAAAGCTTTCAAATTGTTTTCAATTGAAAGTAGATAAAAAAAAATGAGTACATCAATTTACTTTAATTTGTAAGCTTTCAAAACACATTAAAACTTCAATTTAATTAAACTTGCAATAAAAAAATTTTTGAAAAGCTTATAAACTAATAATAAACTTAAGGATTAGTTTCATAAATAAAAATAAAATTTATTTAAAAAACATAAAAACTAGCAAAGAATTTGAAACATTTCTTACTTTCTATGATTAGCTCCTTTCAAAGCAAAAGAAAGTGAATTTTTTGCAATAGACAGTAATAAATTTAAAAAAATTAGATTTTTTACACAACAGAAGAGATAAAATTAGTTTAAAAAATAACAAAATATTTACAGAAAGAACTTTTACAATATTATAGAAATTTAAAATAAGCATTTGAGCAAACATTTTACTAAAGTCACAGTTTTCCAAACATGAAATTAAATCAAATAGTGTAAGGGTATAAAAGTAAACAATGTATAAAAGTAAAGACCACATCAGAAAAAAGCATAACTGCATTTTTATATTGGCTAGTCTCATTCTTCAATAACAAATGAATATTCTTTTAAAAAATAAAGAAACAAAATGGACATAACTGATACTTCGATAAATAACTGTATTATAAAAAAAACATGCCTGCCAAATTTCAAGAAAAAAAAACCAGAAGATTTCACACATTAAGGGGAAAAATTATAATTTATCAAAAACAAGTAGAAAAATAAATGTACTTGCTTTAATAAAATCTTAAAAAACCAACTTTGAAATCAATGTATATGAAAACAAAACAAAATCTTTGGATCTTAAACAAAAAAATATGACGTTAACTAAAGAGGAAAAAAAATTAGCCTAAGTTAGACATTTTTTTTAAAAATAAAAAAAATATTGTAAAAAATGGATTATGTACATAAAATCATAAAAACAATATAATTTTTGTAAAAATTTATTAAAAAAATCATAAGTGTACCCGGATGAAAAAGTATTTGGAAAAGTTTTTATTACTTTCCAAAACTTCATCAATGTAAGAATGAAATGAAAATAGATATCTATAGCCGATAAAACTAATATGTGCTACAAAATCAATCTGTCCTTAGGTATTAACTACTAATTAATGTCTTCTGAAACACAAGAGTCAAAGAGAAGAAAGACAAAAAAAAATGAAACATCAAAACAAAATCTTTGAGGTTAACCAAAAAAAAAAATGAGGTTAAAAAACATGAAAAAAAATTAACCCAGACTGATATTTCTTTATAAATAAGAAGAAAAAAATTATGGAAAATGGATTATGTGCGTCAAATTGTAAAAATGATTAAATTTTCGTAACAATTACAAAATAAAAGTTGTATAAGTTGGCAGGAATGAAAAAATATTTAGGAAAGTTTTTCTTTCTTTCCAAAACTGAATGAATGTAAAATTGAAGTGACAATATCTATAGTTGATATAACAAACATGGGCTAAAAAATTAGGGATGTATTAAATATTCGGCCTTTTTGCCAAATATTGGGTTGGCCTTTTTGCCAAATATTGGGTTGGCTGTTTGGCCAAATGTCCAACCGAATATTCGGCAAAGTATCATTGAAAATATTATTTTTCGACAAAGTATATTTTGGGGGAAATTTTAATAGATTTAATAAAGAATAGTATAAAATCATATTTTTTACAATACATTATTAGAAATAGTTTTTACACATATTTGTTATACATACTTGTTAACTTATGTTTTGAAAGACACATGGAAAAGTGCAATTTGAAGAATTGAAACTAGATTACTTGATACTGAATCATAAGTTTTGTAATAATGATTTTCTTTTTTTTAATTACCTTGAGGTAAGTCAATTTTATCATTTTATTAACACTTATTGCTTTAAAAATGGAGAACTTATCTTTTTTTGCTTCGTTTTTGTTTGTATTTCTGTTTAACTAAAGTGAAACATGTGAATGGATCATTTCCAATAGACTTTATTCTTTTATTGTCATTTTTTTCTTGTACAGTAAGACAGATAAATAGTAACATAGAAAACTGTGATTCTTCACGTTAAAGTTATATTTCATATAACTATGAACAATTTTTTCTATTACACTTTTGATTTCATTTCTTATCTTTTCTTTCTATCAGCATTTTTATTACAATAGCAATTTTTTAAAGAGCATTTGTAATGAATGTTACTCTTTTATGATCACTTTTTTCTACGAATTTGGCAATGTGAAAAAGTTAAATAAAAGATTTTTAGCATAAAAAATTTTTCAATTAAAAATCAAAAATTACGTTTGTTTTGATTTTTGACTAGCTTTTTCTTTTTTAAAAACAGTTAGGTTCTTAAAAACATTTTTATTATGATGCAGTAATTAAGAGAATTTCCAACAGATTTTAATTTTTACTTTTTCTTAAAAATGCAATAATTGATTGGAAAACTGAAATGTTTAGCTTTAAAATTATTTTTCAAAAATTAAGATGGGTTTTTATTTTTTCTGTTTCGCTTTTGTATATTATCTTTGTTTTTACAGTGGTTTTTATGATAGCGCTGCATTTTAAAAGTGTTTCTGATAGAGGTTATCTCATTTTAATGCCTTATGGATAATTTTTTTAATCAGATTTTATAATGTTTGCAAAATTTAATATAAAACTTTGCAAGCACAGTATTAATCAATTCAAGCAAATAGCTTTGTAAATAATAAGCAATAATTAAATAAAAACATGAAAAAAGTGTAAACATACTGAATAAAAATATCAACTTACTGTGAACAAAAATCATAGAACAATAGTTTTAACTTTTGCGACTTAAACCGATTGGTATTTTGATAACATGTTTACACAAATACAGCCTATTACTGGCCAATATTGACTACTCAAAAGAGTAGAATAAATGATGCAATTTTATTAGGCTATAAAATTTCTGCCTGTGTCATAAATGTGTCGTAGTATAAGATAGATGACATAAAAAAAATTATGATTTAAGAAAAATCCTTAAACAAGGAACACCTGATAAAACATCTAAAAATTTTGTTTTAAATAAAATTAAAATAAATAATTTTTTTAATACTGAATAAAACAAGTTACTAATATTTATTTTATCAACTGATCTACTAGAGCATTACAAATGATAACAATGAACTTGAACAACTTATTAAGAATAAAACTAATCAAATAATAATGCTTGCTTAGTTACTTTTACTAGAAAGATTGAATAATTGTTTACAAAATATTAATTGATTAAAGATAAAGAAAAAATTATGAATTAAAGATTGGGATTAGAGACAAATGTAATGTATAACATTTCCTTACATATAGCAAAAAGAATACTGTTTAACTAATAAATAACAATAAAATTGAATACATTAAGGTAATTTTTAAAAAAAACTATTTTATAATAAGCATGATTTATTGAATCTGAATATGTTTATAAAATAATTATTAAGTGATAAATAAAGCATTAATAGTCTGTACAGCTTAAAGAATAATACATAAAACCTTTACGTCCTAAAAAGAGGTTTTACTTTTGAAGTTTCTTTGAAATAAACCACTGCAAAATTAATTTGACATAATTGTTGAGAGTTTTAATTAAAAAGAAATTAAACATTGATATCAAGGTTATAATTGTTATTAGTTACAAACTGATCAAATAATTTTTATTTTGGCTTATGATTTTACAGCTGAACTCTATTAAATTTTTTTAAGTATATCAGGTTTTCCCAAAAGCATAAAAACCTTGTAAAAGACCCAATCAGGAGAAAACAACAAGTTATTCCAATCAAAAGAAAAACATGACATATGTTCAAAACACAGTATTTTTTAAAGAAACGAAATATGGAAGCTCAAGTTTATTTTTGTCCTTTAATTCAATTTATTATTTCATTACAAAAAACACACACAACACAGAAAAGAATTCCTACTTGAACTGCTCTATTTCGTTGCTGCAAAACCTCATCCTTTTCCTTAATGTTTTCTTGCAAATCCATAATTTTCTTTTCTAATTCCATTATTTGATTATTCAGATCCAATATTTTGGAATCTTTGTAAACTATCTGTGCATACATTTCTTGGACATTAGAATCTTTCTGATAACAAAAAAGAAAAATAATAAAAAAATGAGCTACTTAAAAATATTAGTATTATTTCTTTTAGAAATTTGAGCAGGTTTTTATACCACAGTAATTCAGATATAGCTGTTGCAAAAATTGACGATCAAATACACTTATAAAATGAGTTTTATAAACTTGATATGATAAATTTAGAAAAGAGAAAGCAATTAAGTACAATATCATAACTAATACTGCTAACAAAAAGCAGATTTTCAGTTACACTCCAGTAAATGTCGGTGAAGTGTATTCTGTCAAACAAATCTGGCTTTCATGATGCTGGAATAAGGAAAAGATGATTTACTGCTCCTAAAAGATGAATACATAGTCGATTACAAAAAAAATCCACTGTTATTTTTACAAATTGTTAAACGTCTAAAAAAAATTCTATTTAGTATTGGTTATACGAACCATGAAGCTAAATTTTCCAATACATAAGAATAACACCCTAATCTGGTTTATACAGGTCACCGGTTGCCAAAAATACACGAAGGTGTATAAAATATGACAATATTGTGAACATGATGAAATGATGATGAGTGTTAATGATGAAAATATATATTGAATTAGTTCATTATTGATAACATATCACACAGATATTGAGTACAATATTATTGTGAGTCTTGATAAATTTTATTTAGGAAACAAAAATATTGACTAATCTATTAAAATAAAATGAAGAGTTTATCAGTCTGTCTGCCTGAGTGATCTAAACATAAGTCCATAATTATTTGTCCATAACAGTTTGTCTAAAAATTTCAGTTTTGTGCAAGATTTTGTAGTATTGTTCAGCACTGATATATCGATTGCTTACTTTTTTTTCCACTTTGTATGAAAAAAAGGCATTCAACTAGAGTAAAAATAATATAAATGAGTCTAATTTTTTAGAAAAAATTTAACAATATATTGATAAAAATTAATATTTTTCGACACTGCAGAACAATATTAAAATTTGGTACTTATGGGTTATAAGAACCCATGTTCGTGTTAGCAACAACTTGGAAAAACAGTCGCCAACACATGATCCCTTTAAACATTCAGTACTCTTATTCCTACAAAAGTGAGTTCTTTAACACATAGGCAGTGGATTTATGAGCTCAGAATCTCTTTAACTCACAAGTTGCAAGCATTTACTCAACTGCAGACATTTAGCACAATTTGGTTGATAGTTAAAATATGATTATAATTCTTTATTTGGTAAAAATGTTGTTTTTTAATACTTAAAACAGTTCCGTAAAAGATGAAATCAGAATAAAGGGCATATACAAATTTTTGCTTTGGAATTCTAAAATTTTACTTAGAGATATTAGATGTGTATTATTTTAAAACAGTTATCAAGAAAAAATATTTTAATCAAGGGGGTGATTAATACAATTTTATATCCATTTGTTGATAAATATTATAAGTAAATGTTTTGTTTTTCAAGGAAATTGTGTCCTAAACTGAAAAAAATAATAATAATAAAGTTGTTACTCACTTTTGGTGAACTATCAGCTGTTTTTTGTTGCATTGACATATTAGAATCAGCAATTGAAGATATTAAAATATTTTTCTCATTTAACTGTGATTCCAGATCACTGATTCTTCTCTCATAACTAGAGATGGTAGACTTGGATTCTTCTTCTTTTTTCTCAAGATGCTGTTTGGCTTGATCAAGCTGCTTTTTTAAGAGGAGAACTTTGCCGCGATGACTCCTATCCGACGAGTCAGAACTTGATGCATCATCAAAGTCACAATCCTCTTTCTTAAATTAATAGAGTTTTATAAAAACTTTAAAAATGTAAAATAATAATCATCTATAAAATTTAATCTGGATAGATAAAACTTATCTAATTAATTAATTTTTTGACTTTAATGTATAAAAAGTTTCTAAAGAGACATTTCAACATAACTCGCAAGAGAAATTAGGCAAAAAACAAACTAGATTTGAAAAGGCAAGGACAAGATAATATGTCTTATATTTTACAACAGTTATCAATAAATTTTGAACAGTTATCAATAAATCAAAAAATTTTAAATAAAGTAATTTATGATATTATGTAATAATGTGCTTTTTTATCAGTTGAGGTGCTGCTGATTCTGAATCTGAGGCATTGTCTAGATCCTTGTTCTGCACTAGTAATCATCAAGTTGAAATGTTATTAGATTTTTCGTTTAAATCTAACTATTTTTAATTTCAAACAATTTTTAATTTTTTTCATTTACTAATTTTACTTTTACTAGAATACTAAAACTTAACTCAGTGGCATGACAGCCTATGAACTACCATCTCAGTTTGTTTGACCTTAGGCTCTGGGGTGCAGGAGCAACTGTTCAATGTCCAAGTATGCTTGGTACTTTTTATTGACCCATTGTAGGGATGAAAGGCTAAGTTAACCTTGCACGATCCAAGGAGGACACTGGACCTGAGGCATGGAAGCGTGAAGCACTACCACTCAACCACAATACCTACTTTTTACATTTATAACTACTGTTACTTAAATACATAAAATTAAATAAACTCTTCTCTACTTGATGTATGTTAAATAAATATTAATCATCTATTGTGATTCAACATTGAGTTTTTTACTGACATCTACTTGACCTTAAATCTCGCAGCTGAAAGGTGAAATACTGCTGATTACAAAACTTAGAAAAATACAGTGCAAATTAAACAAAAAAAAATATTAAACATAAAAAGCAAATTATGGAGCACATTGAACTTTATGTTTAGCTGATTTGTTTAGAGAACCCTTTTTTTCCATTTATATGACTTCTGATTATGCTGCTATTGTGTTAACCCTGAATAACAGTCACACATAAATAATAACTAAAAATAAAAAATTAAAATTTTTCATAAGCATAATTTTTATTTGTCAAAATATCTTTTTTCTCAACTCACACAACTTCTTAATTTAAGTATAAAAAAAATATTACATCATACTTTTACGAAAACAAATTTATTGGAACTTAACAGTATAAGTTCAGTATCATTCAATTTAAATCAAAATGTGCAAAAATGATAAGTCACTTACTTTAAGTGTTTTATCTTGGTCTTTAATCTGCTTTGATAAATGAGTGATTTTTGCTTTAGATTGCAATTTAAATTTATCAAACTTTGTGGATAGTTCCTGAAACAAAATTTAATGAATCTGATCAAGAAAACATATATTACCACAATAAAAACATGCAGTAAAAAAAAAAACTTAAATTAGAGATCAAATGCAACATAATTTTGTAAGTTTCTGTTTCATTTAAAATTAACCAATTAAGCAACTAGAACACATTTCATTCATTTTGAACAACTCTGAATTATTACATTTTATCAACAATTCTCTCTCAAAAAATGCTTTTTTTTAGTTACATATGAGTGGTAAATAAGTTTTAGATAAACTTATTTACCACCCAAGGTAGAAGTAGTGGATAATTGACTGGTTGAAATATAACATTAGTTTAGAATTTTACAATCTTTCGAATTTATTCTGGAATTTTACAGTCCTTAGTTTCTTTAGGTTTTTTTTCGTAAGTGTACATTTGATACTAAGTTTTATCCAGTTATACACAAGTAATTAAACTGTATGGTAGAGGAATAAAAACTGGATACAGAAAGCATAGAAAAAAATACACAAGATTATTTTATATTCAATTATAAATTCAGAGCTGTGCTTAAGGGTGGACAAACTGGGCAATTGCCTAAAATTCAGGACTGATTAATAGTTATATTACAACTTTTTCTATACATTTCATAAATCTTGGATATATTTTTACTGTTTTTTGGCTTCAAAGAAATGATTATAACTAATTATCTTTCCAAATGCATTCAATTTTAATTCACGCTTCAATGTTCCTTTTTTGTGCCTTAATGTTCCTTTATATCTGGATTGTAATTTTTAAAATGACAATAAGGAACTTTTAAGTCATAGAAATTAATTACATTAAAATTTTAACTATTGACGATTTATTAGTGTGTGTCGAGGGCATTCCCTAAGAACTGCTGCGAAAAATATCAAGAAAAAAAGCAGAGTTAGCATAATTTTTTTAAATCATAGAGTTCTCTAAAAAATATTTATATATTACAGCATTATCTAATGTATTATACATAAGGCTGTGATAATAAACCATTGATATCAAATTGTTTTGGTAATAAATGTTTTATTTGTGGAATTAAGGAATAAATTATTAAATTCAAAAACGAAATATATATTTTTTTTGTACAAGAGCTCAAATGTAGAAAATAATATAACTTTTAATTTATAATCATTCGTTTCATATCATTTTTATATTTTAATGTGCTCAATGTAGCATGCAAAATAATTTGCTGTTTCATAATCAAGAAACATATTTAAATTATACTCATTAAATTTTTATACACATTTAATTCAATACAAGTAATTTTAAATTTATTAAATACATAGTTAGGGCATCTACTTATAAGTAAAGATTAAAGACTTGTCCTGCCAAGAATAACTAATTTTTAGAAATGTTTTCTGCTCTTAAATAATTCTCTTTTCATTCGACAAGATGGATTTTCGCCTTTGCAATTCATGAATGTTTCGAGTTTGATAAAATAAAAATAATAACTGATTTCATTTATTCAATAATTAGTTTGCAAAAACTTAATAATAATATTAATCTTTTTATTATTAGTGGTATTAAAAGTTTTAGTTGCAGTATTATGTTAAAAAATATTAAAATGCTATTTATAAACTTTGTCAGAGTTTTGATCGTTAAAGGTAAAAACAGTTTTAAAAAATTCTGATTGAAATTTAAAAAAATCCAATGTTTAATACTACTTTGATAAACAAAACATGAATAACTGCCTCAATGCCTCTTTTATTAACCAAGAACAAATGCCTCAATGTTTTGCCCAGGGCTGCTAAGACCTTAAGCACATCCCAATACAAGATTCATTATTTTTTACACTGTATGATGAATTCAGCTTTTGCTGATAATATATTCTGAAATTTTTTACCTCCTACACAGCATATTAATATTAAAAAAAAGCAAGATAATACTTATTATATTCCAAGAAGTTTAACCTCAAGCTGCTTTGCAAATAAGTAACTTCTGAATATATTTCCTCCCACTTCATTATTTCCCTATCTTATAAGGTTTGGAAAAATGATTTACTTAACTCCAGCTCAAAATAAATTATTTTATGTGCAGAACTCCCAAAATAAAATGCATAAAAGTCATGACACATATGCAGTATGCATACTTTAAATATTCAATTTAATGGTGGGTATTAAAAACTTCATAGAAATAAAAATTTTATATAATAACAATTTATGAAATTAATTTTATAATAATTAAAAAAAAAAAAGTCTGTACATCATATTCCTTTGTTTTTTCTTGGAAACTTTTTTCATTTTCTCGAACTAAATTCTTTAATTGTTGAATGAGAAGGTCTTGGTGCTGTAATTTCTCTTCAGAGGTAATATCACTTGTAGTATCCTTTTCCTGTAAAAAGGCAAAATTTAAAATAAACAACAAAAAAATCAAACATTTCGTATGAAACTTTAAGAGATTAAAATGCCTGGTTACTAATAATTGGTTATAGCACTTTTTATGATTGCTGTTTTAACAAAAGTAGAAAGCATTTTCTAAACTTTAAAATAAATTTCTTAATTTTAAAAGTTTTATTCATAAAAGCAAAATTCGTGTGAATTGTTCATTATAAAAATTAACAAAGTTAATTTTACATACTTAATTTTATAAAATAAACTATTTTAAAGTTTGAATATACTAACGTTGTACACATTTTATTAACAAGTCAAATTAAAATAATTTGATTTTATTATCATTATTTTTTAGATTTTTACACTGACTTTAAAGAATTACAAGTAAAATCTATAAGAAAAATTAACTAACGTAAATAATTCATATGTTGCTTCATAAACTATTAATCCATTTAAAAGAATCTCACAAAAAATAAATGAAATAATAAAAATAATAACAAGTTTAAGTCTATCAATCTCTAATACATCTTGAATAGCATTTAAGAAAAATATTAATTATAACATAACAAAAAAAATATATAGTATTAGTTACAAAAGTAATATAAATATATTTTAAAATATATAACATAAACAAGCTACTTCTCCAACCTTGCATTGATAACAAAAGAGGAATCTCACAAAAATAAAAATAATAACATATTTAATCTCTAATACATCTTGAATAACATTTAAGAAAAATATTAATTATTAAATTACAAAAAATATATATAGTATTAAATACAAAAGTAATATAAATATATTTTAAATATATAACATAAACATGCTACTTCTCCAACCTTGTATTGATAACAAAAGAGGAATATTTATAAGGAAAACAAGAACAAATAAATTATTGTACTTCTTTTCAAAATGATAATTAAAATTTCCATTAATAAATAGTAAAAAATAAAAATATTGCATAAAAATAAACATTTAAAACATTAGTTTGGGAAGCATGAATTCCTGTTCAACAATTTTTAATTTTAGATCGCTGCGTTATGCTAAACTGCGATAATAGTCCTCTTTAAAAAACTGCACTGGCATTGTGAAGGATTCTGTTCTATGCATGTAACAGCTTTAAATTTACCCAGTTAAAGATCAATTACTGAGGGATGACTAGCTAGTGTCGGAAACAAAGGCAATTTGAAAATAATGTTGACCACAATGCCATCATCACGTCATTGGTCTCTCAATTGTCCAATCTTAAACTTCATGACCTGAAGTAATTGATAATTTATGCATAGATTAACTTCTAATTTCTTGGGTTAGAAACAGTAGTATATTCATACACACCCTCTCTTAGATTATCCATTTTATCAATAAATGCTTATTATTAATAATTATTCATGTATGAAGTGAATATATTTAAGAAACAAATTACGGGTATCTTTGTCAGAAAAGATAGATACTTTTTAGAAAGAAAAAGCATACTAGTGCAGTAAATATCGATATCATAGAGGAAAAATAAGCAAGAACATATCAGAGGCTGAACAACAATCTAAGAATTAAAATTCTAAAGATATGCAGGTATATTGTACCTCTTCAGTCTCCCCAGTGACTAAGGCAGCAGCTTGAGACAGTTTATTCCACATATTTTAGTTTCTTTTGTACACCTTGGAAAAAAACAAGTAGGGTAAATAAAATTCTTTAACGCTAGAGACAAAGATAATTATTAACATAATTAAAAAAATCAGAGGAAAATATTTTTTTTCCTCAGAAATACCTACTAATTTATTTGCATATTTTAAGTTCTTTGATGAAGATGGTAACATCTAACGTTATGCATTCCAAATACCGAAACTTACGTTTTTAAGAGACCAATAACTTATTATGGAAAATTCAAAAATTATAAGACCAAAGTCAATTAAGTCAAGCAATTATTTTTTCGTTTCTAAAATATAATCAATGTAACAGTACTAATACGAAATAATAAATTACGAAGTAACAGAGGGATTTGTCTGTTTGTTGACGTTTTTGATTATAACACGATTGCCAAAATTTATATTTCTTTATACAAATTTTTATTACAATTGTAAATGCACATTAAAAAATAAAAATGAGTCTCGTTTTCTTCAAGTTAAAATAAAAGAGCTATTTTAATTTATAGGTATACATTCTGTTTTCTTTCTCGATTTATTTGAAAGAAACATTTTTTTTTAAGGCTGATGCTTGGCTGCCCGACATTTTAATAAATAGACTCATCTGATTAGTTGATGTCATTATCGTTTTAATTTTAATCGTTTCTTTAGGTTTACTAGATTGGCACTTTCAGCATATGCTTGTTGTATTTTTCATATGCGCATGCTTGGATGGGATTTTTATGCCTTTTTGAAAAAAATGAGCATAATAAACATTTTCTTCAAATTTTTTAAATATTAATGGTCGATTTTCATGTGGAATATAGTTTTAAAAAAAGCAAATAATCAAGTTTCAGATAAATTGTGATATTCTTTATGTGAAAAAAATGATGATTTTGATGAGTTAGTGAGTTCTGTCTATCTCTTTACAGATGTAGTTTATTATGATTCATAAAGGAAATAGTTGTTGATTTTTTTTTTTTTTATCTTTATTCTTATTGAAAATGAATAAAATGATAAGGTTAAAGTAAAGTGCTGCGTATGATAATGAAGTAAAATAAAATCAACTTTTGAAACTGCAGAGCCGCTTTTATGTTTACAGGGGCCCTGGGTCATCATTATTTGGGGGCCCTTTATGAGTAAATTTAGAAAAAAAAGAAGAAAATTTTGAATAATTTTTAAAAATTATTTTATTTTAAGAATAAAAAACATATAAATTAATTATAATAGCTTAAATACAGTATTTTTTACGAAAATTTAAGGAAGCAATACTTCTCGCTCTTTTTGAGAGGCGAAGCCTTCTATCTCATCATCAAAATCAATTCCCTGTAAGACATCATATTCAATGCTGATAATTGACAAATGACTCCATCTTTCTTGAGTCATACTATTTTTTAAGTCCGTTTTTATCAATTTTAGTCAGGAGAATGAAAGCTCGCTACTACAATTAGTTATCATGAGTGACAAAAAAATTCGGAATGAAATGTCAATGTTTGGAAATGTATCTTCGTGATTATTGTTTTTCACTATTCTAAGCATGTCATTTATGTCTAATTGTCCTAACTTATTCTTCGGGGCCAAGTAATGCTCGAAATGCTTTGTTTTTTATTTATGAATTTTGAATGTATGTATATGTTATCTGCAATTTTATATGATTTTTTGCGAACTTTTTTCTCAATTTTTTTTTCTTTACGCTACATTTTGCTTTGCGGCTCAAAATCTATAAGACATAGAAACATGAAATTAAACTTTTGTTTCTGAAAATTGCAACACCATGAAGGAATCGTCATAATTGAAGGAAATTTACTACACAGTTTAGTGGTAGTGGTACAAATAAATGATTAAGCTTTCAAAGCAAACAAACAATAACAAGAGATCGAAATCAGTATTTTGTGTAACCACCACGCACCGCAATAAGCGCTGCTACACGATCTGGCATGGAGTCAAGCAAATTTTGAATGTCTGTCTGAGGAAGAGCATTCCATATATTTTGTATGCGTACCCAAAGTTCGTCTGTAGAAGCAACAGGACGAGGATCACGAGCGGGGCACCGACCGACGAAATGACACACATGTTCAATCGGTGACGTATCTGGGGAATACGCAGGTCAAGGAAGAAACTGTACCTACCGCAATGCAAGGAAGGATTGAACAGTCCTAGCAATATGAGGGCGGGCATTGTATTGTTGAAATACAGCGCCTGGCAAGGCTTGAAGAAAGGGAACAGCTTGGGGCTGTAAAACTTCCCTAATGTACCGGTTGTTGTTCAGATTACTCACAATTCGTAGCAATTGAGATCGTCCATGATATGCTATGGCACCCCAGACCATAACTCCGGGTGTTTGTCCACTGTGGCGTTCGATAATGCACTCCGGAAGGTGGAGTTCACAGGCATAGCGTCTGACACGAATGCGGCCATCCTGGTACCACAAATTAAAGCAGGATTCGTCAGAAAACACAACATGCTGCCAATCAGCACGCCAGTCCTTGTGCTGATTGGCCCATTGTAGCCGCAGGAG